ATGCTAGGTGAAGCATTTAATAATAGAGTTGGTGGAAACAGGAAATGAAAGAATGCAGTTATGTTTAGTTTTCGTTAAATTGTCCTTTCACACTCTGTGATGTAACTTCATGGCAGCATAATGCATAACACAACTGAAGTGGGAGATAGTAATGCTTGAGGAGGTCCATGTATGTTTTCTCCCATTAAATACTGTCTGTTTTCATTCTGTCTTCTCTCTTCTGTAATCAGAGAGATTTTTTTTTTCTCATCATATAAGGATGAATATAGCTTTGAAACGTACTTGTGAGGGAGGAATGTTTCAGAATAGAGTGGTTTGATTTAGTTGGGAATGGCTGTGCCAGTCACAGTAATTTGTTGTGACATTTCATTTTGCTTGGCTTTGCAGTTGCTCCTGTGTTTCTCTGTTGTTAATAATGCAAAAGGCCTGGACAACACAGCACGGTGCAGGCAGGTGTACAGCAACCACAGATATTAGGCAAATTAAACATAAATTAGACACTAACTGGCAATTTCAGCCATTTCTTCACAATTTCTTAACATGAGGTTATATCATTTCTTAAATTTGAGCTACAAATGAAGAACTAGAAGGGTTTATCTAACAAATGGCTTCTTTGAGATGAAACGAAATTACTCTCATGCATTAATTCCAAAATACTTAGATGTTAATTTTCTTTAAACAAAAGAACCAGTCTACATCCAACTTCATGCATGCACTGCTCAGCACCTTGTTCCCTTCAGCTTCTGTGTTTGCTGGCAGGCTGAAACATCCCATCCTGGCAGGTGTTTTACATGTTGACTGTCCATGTTCTCCCTGGATATCTTTACTGAAGTGCAGCCCACGCTTTACAGTTAATCTTCTCATTTACTCCATGCTCCTTGCCACACAGGTGAGCAGGAAGGGATCTACCCCAAGGGTGGGATGTGCAAATGGCTGCAATAGCTTGTAGACGACACAGGGAGGAGGGAATCACAGAATTGTAGAATGGCTTGGGTTGAAAAGGACCACAGTGATCATCTAGTTTCAACCACCTACTGAGTCTGTCATGATGGAGGATCTGTGGTATTTAAAGATGGCCCTGTGCTTCCATCCTTCATATGTTCAATGAGTATAATAGTTTTTCCTTAAGAGAAGATAAGTGATTATTGTAGGAATCTGCAAACCAGACCTCCACCATGAATAATAATGTGTTTTTTTCAAGTTATTCTAGGATGAAAAAATTTTAAACCATTCTGAATGTAGAAAAAATAATTCCTTGAACCAGATGCTTACTTATTGTTATCTATTTTAGAGAACTAATTATTCCTGTTGTTGGTAGTGCTAAAGCTTACAAAATTGCTTCCATCCTTGAATTACTATAATTAAGACGATAACTTCCACATCTAGTTAACACTGCTGTGCAGCTGGTGCATTCATTGACATGCAGATTTCAGATTTTGTAAATTTTCTGTCATTGTGAATAAAAATTTTAAATACTTATTTTCATTTCCAAAATCTCTGTTTCTCATAAAGAAGTCTTTGTAAATCAAATCAACTGAAACTAAATTCCTGTAACATCAGAGGAAAATCTAGTTAAATTTGGTTAGGTGCTCGTAGAATCATTAAGGTTGGAGAAGACCTATAAAATCACCCATTCCAATCCCATTCCACGCCACCATGCCCACTGACCACATCCCTCAGTGCCACATCTCCACATTCTTTGAACACCTCCAGGGATGGTGACCCCACCACCTCCCTGGGCAGCTGTGCCAGCACATCACTGCTCTTTCTGAGAAGTTGTTCCTAAATCATTAAAAGGGATCACAAACATTAATGGTTAGTAACAAATGTGATTAAAGCTATAATTTTTTCCTGTACATTTTGTTTATTTGCATATGCAACATCTTCTGCTATGAGAGTGTGTTCTAGAGAAGTGCATTATCTTTTTGAGAAAATTCCGTATTGTTTGTTCCTCATGACCAGCACTGCAGTGATATTACTGGAGATCAGTCCCAAATTGCCTTTTGGTGGAGGTTTGTATGCTGGAGACAAGGTGTGCTGGGGTTTACACAGCTCCCAGGTACCACACATCCTGTTTAGCACTGCACATGCTGGCTGCCGAGCACATTGCAGTGGGTCCAAAATTAGTGTCCAGTTACCAGACCCACGTCTGATGTCCTGCAGTGTTCAGTTTCAAGAACACATCTTGGAACACTCCACTGCATGTAACAAATGTTATTTTTACTGTGGGGGAGAGATCTCAACTCACAAACAGTAGAAGCACCATTTCCGTGGTGATGGCAGAGGCATTGTTTCAGCTCTCTCCATGTAAACTCCTGTCTTGCTGTGCTTGTTTTGAATAAAATCAGGCAGCTCTTCGTCTCTCCCAGGCTTTGCAGGTTCCTGCAGTTTGGCAGTGGCCCTGCAGGGCACGCAGCAGGGGTTGGCTCTTTCCAAGTTATGGAGTGGGATCTGGGAAAAACCTTAATGAGATCCATGCCAAACTGTGAGGAGAGGAGGGTCGGGGACCTTGCATGTAATGAAAGTAGGAAAGCTTTGGCTTACAAGCACATAGTGGTGCTCAGAGTCTCCCTGGACTGGTTCAGAACTGTATTTTTTTTCTTGTCAATATACTCTTGAGTTGTACAGTTAACCTTTTCCCTTTCTACTCTCTCCTTCTATTCCTGGTTTTTATGCAGATTGGATTGTTTTTAGAGGGTTGCTTGCAGAATTCATGAACAGTAATGAGCAGTGATGTAGTGCAAGAGTTCAATAATATGATCTCCTCATTATTGGCCATGTAGCCTGGTGCTGAGCCCCGTCTGTCTGGCTGAAGTGCATCTTCCAGGAAAGCATTTTGTCTTCATGTGAACTGTGCCAGCACTTAAATTGACTCGCTCAAATTTCTTTGGCACAAATTCCTGGTTAAAGCTAGCTTCACTTCTTTAATATTCAGCTATTCTTCTTTAGAAGGTGCTTAAATGCTGTTGTGATGAATTCCTGAGGCTAGCTGCCCAACTGGAGGCTCACGTTAGCTCTTCATAGAATCACAGGATGGTTTGAGTTGGAAGGGACCCTTGAAGACCATCTGGTCCAACTCCCCAGCAACGAACAGGAGCACCTACAGCTCCACTTCTCCCTTTTTATTTTCTTCCTTTTTGCGACAATGAGGGCTTTATTGCTGCTTTTCTGTAATTTCTCATTGATTCCAAGTTCTCTTAGAAGTTATATCTATCTACGTATCTATCCAGAGAGCTCTCTTCAACCAGTTGAGAGTGCATTTGTGGCTGTGTGTGTATTTTTCCCATCATATAACACGAATTCAAGAAATTGAAAGTTCTGTTCTTAGCCTTTATGTCTGAGCTTTGCCTTATTGCCAGCACATGTGGATCACGTAAATGGCTGAATGGGCCCCAGTGATCTCCTCCTTCCCTGGTGAGAGATCCAGCAAAATGGAAAGTTACCAAATTTTGGGGGTATAAAAAGAATATTCTTCATTCGTAACTTGGGCGGCTCAAAAGCCATTCCTCCCCTGGGTGCATTGGTGCAAACCTGACCTGTTTTAATGGGTCTCAGCTGTGCTTTGCTCTCCAGCTACTTAACCCTCTCTCTTTTGAGTTGTCCTCTTTGCAATGATGGCAGAGAAAATGGGTTTGTAAAACCTGGTCCAGTCTGGCAGATGCAGCCAGCAGTTAAATAGCTCTGAGCTTGAGACAGCTCTTATTCCCCATTATGCTGTGATTTAAATATACCAACTTTCCAGACAATGCTCTGGGCTGTGATCACGGGTGTTTTAGTAACTCCTCTTAGCGAAAGGATGCAGCCACAGAGGATGGAGCTCTCTTTTCTCATGGCACTAGTGTTTTATATTGAGCAAGATCTGCAGTTTTTACATGGTAATTTACGTTAGAATGCTCAAGGTTTTTTTTATTTCTCACATAGTCATCTACGTTACATTAGAATACTCAGCACTTTGGTGTTGTGAGAGATTTTCATCGTGATGTAAACATAGTGATTATCTGCTACTAATGTTGGAATTGAGTATTCTGTTTTTTTTCAACAGTTACTGGAATAGACTGACTGAACACATTAAAAAAAAAAATCCATAAACCTTTTTTTAAGCCTCTTAACATCAGGTCGTTCGTTTGTCTGTATGATGTACACAATGGCAATCAGTTTTTGGATGGAGTGTTGTTGAATAATACATGAATGTAAATGCAGATTGTATGGAATCAGTTGGACAATTTTGAGGAATGCTTTAAGTACACTAAAGAGCCTGAATAGCAGTTAATGGCGCTTCAACTTTATTACTGTTTATTATGGTTGGCAGTTCCCTTGTGCTTTTTTCTGCTTCGAGTTCTCCGGTTTCCTATAGAATAACAATAAAAGGTCTTACAAATAATAACAGTCAGATACACTGTATCCTGTGGCAGCAAAACAGTTCTGCATTAAATTGCGGTTCTTGGCAGACCGAGCACATTTATCAGGGCTGCTCCAGGCGGGATGGGGGCAGATGTCAGTCCAGGAGCCACCGTGGAGCTCTGCTGGACAACCTTAGTGTGTGCTGTGTATGCATATTTTGTATATTCCTATATGCCACAGGAAAATGGGTGATCAGCAAGGGGGTTAAATATCCAGTAGGTTTTGTTCAGGACCGGGTGAAATGAGAATGTTTCACTTGCCCATTATGATTACTTCCATCACCTTTAGAGCTAAATTGGGCAGAGGGCTGTTGGAAGCTCACCTTGCATGGTTTTCAATAGGCATTGAAAATTCAATGGGCATTCAATAGGCGTGTTTGTGCTGCTTCTAGCACATTAAAACACCTATTGCTGACAAAGTACATTTTGGCCCCGTATGTTTGCTTCCCAGCAGTCAATACCAAAATCGAGTGAGAGAAGAAATATCGACCTGAGTCTGAGAGATTATTTCTCTCTAGCTAAAGGCTGTTCTTTAGGACCAGCCTTCAGGTGCTTTGATTTCTCTGTTTTTGCCTCATCGTTTGTATCTCTTTCTTCCAGCTGTCGGACAAGCAACAGAAAGAGTTTGATTGTAACGTCCAGCACATCCCCGACTCTCCCGCGGCCGCATTCCCCCCTCCATGGACATGCAGGTAACTCCGAGGGCTGCCGTGCTGGGAATCGTTGGGAAAAATGTCAGTGCTCATTGCATCGAGTTTGAACTAAGAATCATAGAATGGCTTAGCTTGGAGGGGACCTCAAAGATCATCTTGCTCCAACCCCCTGCCATGGGCCGGGTTGCCAAACACGTTGATATTCCATGTCAGTGTGCCATCTGCGGTATCTGTCTTCTACTTCGAGCAACGCGAGATGTTTGAAAATTGCTTTATGCATTGCTGTCAGTTTTATCACTTCAGCAACGGTGAAATGCTCATTTCCAGGCAAATGGGCAACCACTTGTAAGTCATCAGAGTGAAGTGTGGAGAGATGTTCTTTCTAAAGAAAAAGTGTTTATTCGGTCTGCGGTAACCACAGAGTTTTAGAAGGGGTCACGCATGTGGGTTCAGCAGTTTGCCTGAACAGTGTGTTCCCTTGTTACCTTTATTGGGAGAGAGGTAGGTGATGTACACCTGCACTGCTTTCAGTATTTCAGAACGCCAGAGAAAGCAGTTGGGTTTCAGGTGTGGCCCTAATGGGTACAAGTTTAACTTAAAACAGCCAAACATTGCCACACATATTCACCTGCTGTTGAGCCAATGTGGAAGCACATCACAGTTGTGTGTAAGTAATTGTTTTCATTACAGTCAGACTTCTCTCATCCTACATGGTAGTATGTCCTGAAAGTACTTTCTGCAGATTGAAACAAAGGAAATGCTGAGAATGGACAGCAAAGTGGTAGTAGCTCAGGGAGAAGGAGCCATCTGCTTCTTCTTGCAGGGCATTGTGCCTTGAGAGGAACATTCACCCAGCTGGAAGGACAGAAGTTCTTGTCCAGGGATACCCATGAAAGCCTCAAATTGATTTTCATACAGATTTGCTGAGTATGCTGTAAAGCCCTGTCATGAATGGCTGGGAAGTTGCTGTACTCATACTGTTTTTTAAATGACCCATGATTTTCATTTTCAAGTGTTAACAAAATCTTAAAAGTAGCATATTAAGGCTATTTTCTTTTTGCTTCAGAATCTCAGATAACTCAAAGTATTTTCAAATGTAACTTGTTGGAATTCGTTACTGCACCAAAAGCTTGCATTTGCTAGAGGAATTCTACTTCACTCCAAACTCCCTTGGCTCTTGTATGGGTGATTATGATAGTGATAGCTTTGTAAAATGTGATATTTCTCCCGGTAGGGATTCTCTGCTTAGTTATGTTGTGCTCCTTACTTTATTTTAAGAATCAATATGTATGTTGAATTTAACAAATTCTATGTCAGCTATATAAGCATTTAAGTAAAACGGTGGAGAAAAATGCTCCTCGGAATATGAAAGAAGCATCTTTGCTTTTCAGATTGCAATAAGGTGTTGGCCTGATCATTGCTCAGAAGACAAAGGCAGAGATGTTCACACCTGTATTTGCTCGATTTTCTTTTCTCCCATCTTTCAAATGAAAAATTGGTCTTAGTGTTTGTAAAGCCCAAGACAGCATCATAGCTTATCTTTTATTAAATATGCGACTGTCTGGAAAACTAGAGTAGCTACTCAGTGGTATGTCATCTTTCTTTAGCAGAAATTGTCAAATACTTCTATTTCTTGTTCTAATGTTGCATATGGGATTTGAAACTATTAATTAAAAAGGACATCCTTTGTGACCTCCAAGAGTTGCAAGCAGAGAACAGGGAGATAAATAACTGGTAGCCTCAGTTCCCTGCCAGTACTGTGCTTAGGAGTTTTCCCTGAGTCAAGTAATTTATTCAAGAGACAAAAGTAGATGAAATTTAGAGTAGATTCACAAATATTTTCTTAAGAAATATCATATATGAGATGTGAATTTGAGAACAGGCTGTGATATTTGTTTAGTATTTGAACAGAATCGATCAATCTGTTTGTTCAGACACATACACTGATAAGTCACTAAGAAAAGCTGGAGCCTCTCCCATCCTTCTTGCGTTGTGAACATGCTCCTCTTTGTGTCCATTCTGCACCTCTTCCACAAATGAAAGGAGTGACAAGCATGCAGGGAAATAAGGAAGACTTTCTAAAAAAAATTCTGTTCAGAAAATGGAGTTCTTTATGGCATTAACTGCAGGAGTTTCTCTTCTGTATGTTCTGTATGTGACGTTGGTGGGTGTGATGTAGCACAGTCCTTCCTCCTAATGATCACTGGCCCTGCAAACTACACATTTTGATGTACGGAGCAGCTTCAAGATAGGATGTCAGGCAATTCTATATCCTACAAAATGGAGAGGAAAAGTAATACTTCAGAGGTCTAAAGATGAAAGTAAATCTGAACAATTTTTAACTCTGCCATGAAAACATTTTTGAATCAATAGCTCTTAATGGATTTGAAGTGCACTAATTCAGTTTTCAAACTTTATGAAATAATCTTCCAAAATTACATGGAGCCTTGTTATTAAACAGCTACAGCTTGTTAATGCCATGGGAAAGTCACCCTTCTTATTTACTCCCCCATATCTTGACTGAAGCGCATTTTTGGGAAGACAGGTTTGAAAATCTTCCTTGTATTTCTTTCAAATCAGAGGAAGGAAGGTGTACACACACTTTCCCTATGTTTGTATTTCTGTGAGTTATTTTTATTTTAATCTAACATGCACCTATTACAGTGTACACATTGTAAGGCAGATTAATACATTACCCTTAGATTGTATCTTACAATGAAAAGCTTAAAATCAATCAGAGAAACAGCATCATCTTTATAGTAGGAGCAAGAGAGATTCTTGAAGGTGGATGAGGGAGATTCACGCTGCTGTAAACTGCTTCCCATGCTGCCAGGTTACAGTGGATACACTTGTCCCTGTTCCTGTCTGTAATAATGTATGAAGGGAGCTGCTCATGGGCAGTGTGGTAATACTGAATTCAATCATTCTGCTCTCCCACTGTAAGTTCAGTTCCTCCTTCTGGCTTTAAAAAAAAAGAAAGAAAGAAAGAAAAGATTATTTTTAAGCCTTCTATTTACTTCTTTTTCATGTATCAGTGCTGTACAAAAGTGCACGGTACTCCTGCTTCTTGATCCAAGTATCCTTGGATCCAAGGGCATAAGCTGTGAATAAAACTTGTGCAGGGTGTGTTGTGTGCAGCTCTGGATCCTGTCCTGGTCATCAGAGCTGCAGTTCGTTTGCACTATGTGCATGTGATCCCTGGATGCCAGACAGAAACCAGGATATTCACTCTGAGATGGGTGGTGCATGGGATGCTGAAGTGATTGGAGTCATCCTAACATTGGGATGTGCTAGAACACAGGGAGTTCTGTGATGTGCAGTAGGATCGATTCTGCTTCTGTTAGTATTCAGCAAATAGCATTGGTATATTGTATGTAGATGGCCACAACAATCAGACCTTTGTATTTATTATATTTCTCAGAATCTCAGGAGCAAGCATTACGAAAAGGCTGTAGTTTGAGCTTTTGGACTTGTTAACCTATCTGATGTCATCATACTTGTAGATGGCAGCTGAGGCTTTTGCCTGTCTCTTCCGTGTAAGGTCTGTTTTCCTAGTTTCAGGGCAGCAGATGTACAGGTGCTTTAGCTACCTCCTTCTCCACGTGTCCAGGAAATGTAAAAGTTCATGCCTGAATTATTAACATTGATGTAACTGCGTTGATTTACCTAATGGGTAATCATTCTGCGTAACAGCCTCCCCTGGGACAGTCATTTCAGGTTCAAAAGGAGCCAACTATAACCCCTGAGCAACAGGGGAATTTACCTTTGCTAACAGAATAAATAGAGTTTCGATCAGCCTTGGTGAATGAGACCATTGCAGTAAGGCTTTTCTTATTAAAATTCCTTCAACTAGAGCAGATGCAGCAGTACTGGGAAATTTTAGGGAAAGTAGTAATTCCCCTTTTCCCTGTTGTTGTTTTAAAAGCTTCACCCAGACTTGAATTGAGTAGAAAAACTAATTGCTTTTCATTTTAAAACTCGAAGCAACTCACTGGGGATCTAATTAAAATTCCAGTGTCTGGAAGGAAATATGCTATATAAATCTGAAAAAGTTGTTACTTAAAAATTAATAGTATCTCTGTACCAGATTGTGCAGGCTCAGAAGACTTCGAACACCCACATAGTTAATTTCAAAAGTTAAAAACTGTCATTACCCAATTTGCTCAGTTACTCTGAAATCCTATTTTGATCATAATGTGGAGAGTTTACAAAAGATTGATGAAGATATTAAACAGATGATGACAGTTCACTGCCTGTTTATAACAGCAGTGGGCTTTTTGTTCAGAAAGATCATCTCGATGCCAGCAAAAGCAGCAAATCTGCAGTGGGTATGTGAACACCCAGGCTCCTACCAGGACAGGCAGACTCCTTTGCTTTGCTGGGATACCTGCACTGCTTCCTGCAGGCCTCATTCTGCCACATCTCCTGATCTTAGCTGCTCTTTTAGCTTTTTGTTCTGCTAGCAAATACGTCGCTACCCCAGCCCTAGCCTTGTGCTGCTGCCAGAACATGCGCTTCTGCACATTGAGTTGGTCATTCTGTTGCTATTGTTGCTTTTCACTGTTCTTGTAAGCTTGCAGTGCCATCTAGACTGTGAAAACTAGTCTTAGCCCAGCAGTAAAACGGCTCTGGCTTTTCACTTCAGATAAGAAGCCAAGTGAGTGCAAGCTTAATAAATGAAGCGCCAGTATTTGTCATCTTATTGATTTCTGGTGGTGTTTCTCCCCTTGCTGCCTAGGGTACACTGGGAATGGGTTTGGTGGCAGTCAGTTTTGGGTGAAGGCATGCATTGTGTCCTATTAAACTGAACTGTCGTTAGTTCTTAACTAATATTTTACAACAACACATTAAAACGCAAACCAAAAGTGACCCACAGGAAAACAAGCTTGTTGCCCACACCTTTGTTTTTCATTCAGTTCTCTCTCGGTGAAGCAGATTGTGCTGGATCACGCTTCCCTCTCCAGCTCTCCCATCACCCCTTGGCACACACCAGATCAGCCCGAGGCTGCTGTATTCCCGACCAGCTGCTCTTGTCCCCGTGCACATGTAGGCCAGATGGAGCTGCCCGGCACTGGGACACCGTCACGGCCTGGAAGCATCGGCTCCTTCCTCTCTCCCCCTTCCTACCTGCATGTGTGTGTTAGGTAGGAGTGACTGCAAACCTTCCAGTGAGCACAGTGCTTGTCTTCACCTTCTGCTCAGCATAACACTTAAGGTACACGAGTAACTTTATTGGGATTAGCCATTGCTGATGCTCACCTTTAACATGACTTTTTTATATGAGATCTACATCTGAAGACCTTTCTGATGACCATGTAGCTTGCAGAGCATTGCTTGTCCAGTATCTGCTTGTTTTCCTGCTCACGTTTTAATGTTGTTTTTACTCAGAGAAATTGCTGCTGGCATATGCTTACTATGGATAGTTTCTCTTTTGTGCTTGTATTAAGGATCTGAAAGAGCAAACCACTTAAGAATATGCCTGATAGAAAGAGTACACTCGCTGACATGAAGCTACTAATTCATCTTCTAAATTTCAAAGGTTTCTGCAGTTAGTCTATAAATGATTCTGGCTTTCAGAAGGGCTTCCGTAAGTGGCTGCTTTTTTCTTTGAAGACACTGCAGAGCACTGCTTACCAACTGTATGCCTACACATCATACGACAAAGCTGGGAAAAAAGATTCTTGTGCCAATTGAAAATCTAATGTTATTTTTTCTTCAGTGCGTGAAGTCACTGGCTCTTTCATTTTCATTGCATTTTTTTGATGAGGTGGTGGTTAGGGTGAATGTTAATGCTTTCTCACTTGAGCATCTTCTGTGTGTCTGTAGTCCTTTTATTACATGTACTTCCTGTGGCATTTTTTTCTCCCTCAGTGAATTTTGCATTCAGCAGCGATAAACAGAGTAAGTATGAAGATACTTTCCTCCTACTTATTATTCCTGAAAGTGTCATCAGTATCATTTCTAACCCAGGTTTTTCATTGAGAAATGTTAGGTTTCTATAGGATTGTATATTGTATAGGGATTGTTACGTAATACTGAGAGACTATATTGTGTATATACGATGCACTACCTATTAAGAACAAGAAACCTATTTAAGAACAAGAAAATGTGTATCTTAAATTACTTCAAAAGGAGGTAAGGTTCTGATCAAGTCGTATTTCTTTGGCAAACTAATGCTCAAATGATCAAGAGCACAAAGCATATTGTCAATCATTTGCAGGTACAACTTGGTATTGAGGGTGTTTGTGCACAGTGAGAAGATCCTCTGCTGCAAATGTGACTGACTTTGTTTGCTCCCTCTAACAGGTGGCAGCCCTTTGGACAGCCCTAGAAACTTCTCTCCAAATGCTCCTGCTCATTTTTCCTTTGTTCCTGCCCGAAGGTAAGTCAGGATACATTCGCCTGGATTGGCAGACAAATAGGGTTTCTAAACTTGAGTTTAGAAGTTGCCTACAGGTTACAAGTATTTTTTGTCATGGTTTGCTTTCTCTGATATTTGTAGTTCTATTTTATTCTCTTTTTGTTTAGGCCTTGGCAACACTGAGAATGTATTAGGTGCTTTTGAGACATAGAAATGATCAAAAGTTGATAAAGCTGTAAATAGAGCCTGGGGAGGAGGCAGTGTTCTCCCAGGGAGGTGACATATAGGCTGTGTGAGATAACAAGCCGTTTAGTCACAATGCCTAAGTTGTGAATAGAATAACTCTGTCTCAGTGGTAATCCTAGATCCTCTTCTCTCTGAGTAACGGAGGTGCTTTGTACGTCTGCCCTTCTGTTCTGCCATGTCGGCACAAAGACACAGACATACCAAAATCAGGCGTGCACTCTGCATTCATTCACTGCCTTCTGAGTGGTAGCAACTTTTTAGTTTTCTCTACTATCTTGGGCATTGGTGTCAGGAATATGTTATTGCTCTGACAAGGAAGACAGCTGATAATTGAAATCGCAAGTCTACAGGAACTGCTAAAAGAAGAACAGTGTTGAAAGACTTGAATGCAAAGCTATCATCTGTCCTGTAGTGAGTGCTAGACAAATGCTTGTTACACTGTAGATCATACTGTTGGAAAGAAATCTGATACTATTAGTGATCAATTTAGTGTAAGGAGCAGGACAGGAAGAATAAAGACATCTGGGAGAAGCAGACAAATGGAGTATTGAATTTCGTATCTCATCAGGAAGGCAGGAATGGATCACAATGCAGAAAGTTAAATTTGGTTGAGAAAGAAAAAAATAGCAACAAAAAAATAATAAAGGAGATCCCAAGCAAAATTTAGGCAGGGAAGCTGGATTGCTCGATTCATGTGTGAGAAGGATATTTTTAATTTGCTAAACGCTTCAACTTCTTATCTGTGTTAGAATGACCTGAAAACAGGAAAGGTGCGATCATTCTGAGAGGCAGCAAGTTTTCTGACAAAGAGATTGGCTTGAGGACTAGATAGGGAAAGGTTAGGTATCAAAACATCAAATAAGAGTGGAGGGTTGGGATTTGGGAACAGGCTGGGTTTAAGGAAGCCGGAGGCATACCCTTTATCTGGACATTGGGTAAATCCTGGAGTGTTTTTTTCCAGTGATGTGGTTTGCTAGAAGACCTGGTGTCCTTGAATACTGCTTGAAGTAGATTTTGATCTTAATATGATAGAGAAACTTTATAAAATCATGTGAAATGCGATGAGCTGAATATGTATTTTCATATTCCCTTAGAGGGAAAAAATAGTTAAAGTTTTAACTGGTGGTAAAACAATTAGAATGGATTCATGCATCCACATCTATTTTTATAGAGGAATCTGAGCTTAATTTGAGTGTATTTCATATGTTCTGTTGAAGTCAACTGGAATTTTTCCAGTTTTCAGAGTATCTGGACCTCGGATCACAGGAGGAAAGTTGCAGCTGAAACCACTGTCAAAGCTCAACATCAGCTGTTGGCTGTTCCAGCCACCTTAGTAAAATTGCTTTCCAAATTTCCAAACAGAAAATAAGTTTTAATACTAAAACTCAGAAATGTGTCCTTTCCTACTTTTCTTTCTTCCTTATTTTTAAAGAAATAGACAAACAATAGTTAGGTCTGTCCTATTATATGCTTTGGTTCATTTTACGGCTTGCATGCTGCTCTGCATACTTTCTCAGTCACTGAAAAGAACACTTAAGCTCAGCTTGTTTTAGAAGTTTGTTTCTATTTTCTACTTGTATTACACCCTGAATAGCTATGCCAGCAGTACCACATGTATGTATTATATTATCAAGCAGAGTATCACAATAACATCTGTGGGAAGTACGGCGTTAAGTAATTCAAAATGTTTTTCGCTGTTACCTCAGACAAATGGATATGTCACTGTACCCTTTTGTTCAGCATTGTTTGGGTCTCAGGAGAGAGTTCGTACCTGGTTTTTTTCCCATGGTTGTCACAGAAGTTATTTCTTGCTGTTTTCCCACATTTTATATTTGATACAATTTCTTCATTTATTATTCTCTTTGGACATGGTTTGTGATTTCCCTTCTTTGCTTATTGCATTGTGATGAGTGGGTTCTTGGGTTGGAGTAGGGAGCACATTCAAATAAGTCTATTGTAAAATTAAATTCACTACAATAGACTGCAAGATTGTCCTTAATTTGACTTGTGCTTAATCAAAAATCTCTCACTAGGTGCCATTTCAATGGCTTCTTCACACCCATAAAGTCAGTGTGTTCAGAAATTCTCTTGTATGAGTAAGAAAACATGGTTAATTTTGTCTATATTCAGTAGAAATGACCTTAGTGGAATATCAATAACACAGAGCATGAAGGTTTATTGTTATTTTTCCCCTCAAATCACGTGTATCTTTTACTTCTCTGTCCCTCATTACCACTGTATGATTTCTTCCATACAGCCATGGACACAGAGCAGACAGGTAATGTGCGTCGTATTGCTGTTGTGTGTGTGTGTGTGAACCATGCTTCTGTGCAGCCAGGCACCAGCCTGTGTCCCTAACAAGTTCACACTGTGAAAACCCCATTTAGGCATTCAGCTTTTGATTACCAAATAATAAAACTATGCATTTTGACCTAAAATGTTAAAGTGGTAGTGCTTTGTGAGAAGATGCTTTGTTCTTCTAACACCTCATTTTGAAATTCATCTGTGTTCATGAAATAGCATTGTAACTGCCATAAAAAAAAACCTCCTAATTAACAAACTAACATTTAAAAGGCAAAACTCATTGCTTCCATGTCCTAGCTAAGTTTATTTTGCCATAAAATAAAAGACCTAAAAATTACTTTCCAAGTATCTTTTCCTGAAGGAATATTGCATGAAGTCTCTCTGAAAATAAATTTTTATTAACAAAGCACTGAAGCAGCTTTGAAATGTTTTGCATAAATGAGAGAGGAAATTTCTATTAAAATCTAGTTCCCGATGCCTTCAATTTTAAAGTTTTCTTTCCTGCCTCACCTCTTTCTGTTAGATGTGCAGCTGATACATGTTGCCCTGATGGCTTGGCACATTTCTTGCCTAGATTGCATCAGTAGAAAATAGCCCAAGCATAAAGAGGTATCCTGTAACTTTCTAATGAAGAAGGATTTGTTTTAAAGTCGTCAAAATGAAAATACTAAAGTTCTCTCAATGCCCAATTTAGGCTGATCACTAAAAGAAGAGTTAGGCTTTCCTTTTGCAAAAAATGATGGAATTATTCATTCCTGTTTACTCTTCGGGAAGATAGGTAAATATTCTCCCTCTTTGGGGCTGAGGGTCCAAACTGAGATCAAATCATTGGCCTGCAGGTCCAACCAGCACCCATGTGCTCTAGGAGTAGCTGAATGAAGATCTCTGCAGCTGATTCATGGTGTCCATTTGCTGCCACATGACTCAGTGACTTTGCAGTGCTGACACTGGTGGTTTTTCAGGGTTAAGAAAAGAATTTCTCCTGGAATTTTTCATGTTTGTCTTGCCAAGGAGAACACGACTTGTGGCTAAATGGGGTTTAGCTATAATGTATGCATGCATAGAAGTCTGCATTACAGCTTGAGTATTTTTATGCATGAAGCATGAATCCTTTTAAAAACTCTCTTGATATAATACTCTTTCAATAATATGGAACAGTGGGTTTATTTCCCTCTTGTTCTAAAGTAGATGGCAAAGTGCCTGAAAATAAACAGATCTTTATGTCTGGGTGTGCGCTGAAGTTTTCTCTGTAGATTGAGGCATTGTATATTCGTAGTGGGATGAGAAATATTGCTGCAAAGACAGCAATTGAGATTTTATAAGCAGTATTTCAGATCCATAAGAGGCATCTTATTTTACAGTGTGCCTGCAGAAATGCACTGTATCGATGTGCATCCAAAACCACAAAGTCTTTCCAAAGTCAGTTAGAATGAGGAACTGCTCTAATTCAGTTTCCCTTTATGAGCAGCTACTGATAGTCTGCCATAGCAAAGCAAACGAGTGAGCTGGAACTGATGTGAGGGAGACTTCTTTAGCACTCATCCCAAAATGCAAGAAGACACACTTTTAATTACAGGAATCAAAATGCCTTCAAGATTGAGATGAAATTAGAGGCAGAAAAAGCACAGTGGGCTGGGATGAATTGAGTTTGGTTCCAAGCTCACTGAGGTGGGTTTTAGTGGGAGAAGAGGGTTTCAAGAAGTGCAGTACTGATTATTCTCCAAAAAGAACCGTCCTTAGTTCTGACACTGGTAAAAACAAGAACTGTCTGACAGTATTTTCAGGGTATTTTGTCTATTTTCCCTGGGAATCATGTTTACTGGCTATGACAAGGTAAACAAACAAGACCACTTCCACTAAGTTCATCGTTTAAAACATTTTTTTCTCCCTCAATTTTCAGCATTATTTGAAAGACAAGGAACTGCATAACAGCTTTAGGCAAAAGTGCCTTTTTCAAAGAAGTCTGTTTTATTTGTTCATTTCTGGAATGTCAATTTTTGCACAACTGGCAATATTTAAAAAGCATCTACTTAATGTAATGCAGGAATCTGATGTCCATTTGCTTTATCTTTTCCAAGATCACTTATTTGTTTCTCTTGAAATGTAGCTTTGCTGATTTTTCACAAAGACACCTGGTCTACTTGAATATCTCAAGACTTTAGAAAACCCATATGGTTAAGAGATTTGGGGGTAGATGTTTATTTCCTCCAAGTATTGACCACAGTACGTCTATTGCAGTAATTTCCTTTGCTTCTTTCCTCAGAACGGATGGACGCCGCTGGTCCTTGGCTTCCCTTCCCTCATCGGGATATGGAACAAACACTCCCAGTTCAACAGTTTCAGTAAGTGACCCAGACTTTTCCAAGCAATTCAGATTGTACAAACACACCCTAACAAATCTGCTTCTGAGTCTTTACTAAAATATCTGATCTTCCTTCATTTTTTTTGCTAACATTATTAAATATACTAATTATTTTTTAAAAATTGTTTTAATTGTTGGTTCCACTGCTTCTTCCTCCATTTCCCAGCTCCTATCATCTTGCACTTTGCCTTTACTATTGGTGAAATCCCCGTGTAGCACTTGGCTCGACTGCTTGGTTGAGACATGATGTGTCAGAAATGGCAGGGCTCTGAGCACATAATTGCCAGCAAGATCTCAGCTTTTTTTTAACTGGGAAATGAAATCCTCGTCTGCTTTCATGTTCTTAGTGTTAAAATCTGCTAGCAGAAGGAAAAACTGATAATCCACATCTGTTAACTCAACTTCAATAATTTGAATCTCCTAATGTAGCTTTTAATTTCTTACTTGTCGTTAGAAAGGTTGTCTGCAGTTTGCTTGAATTCTTCTGTACTTTCAAAAGGCTGATATGTTGTTATCATCAGGAAGGCACCAACACCATTTTAACCTTATAGCTCTCAGATACTTCATACAATTAATCTTATTCTTTAGTTTGTGCATATAAATTGTGTTTATCTACATAACAGTCTTACAATGCCATGCATAGAAAGACTGGAAATGCTAAGTCTACCTGTCAGGCTTGAGTCAACATGCTTTTGTGTATGTGTTAATGGTGAGTATCTTAACAGTGTGGTCACATATCATTCCTTCTTTCTATAATACTTACTCTGATTGTTTTGTTTTATATGTACTGTTTAGAATGTGTTCCTGGTAATTGTAATACTTACCTAGGACTCAGTACTCCGTGAATATTAATCTTACTAAATAATTAATCTTAATGAGTAATAATCTTACTCTGAGTGCAGTATCATTATTTTCTTTCTGAAATGTTCTAGTAAGTTCATCCATAAACCCTCTCAAGTACAAATTGATCTTCATATGTCCTTGGAACACGAGTGTTAAATTCATTCCATATATTAGGAGAAGAGATTGGGGTCAAAATTTTCCTTTTAGCTATAAGTTGACATGATTAATACTTGATTTTTTTGTCATTAATATCATCTGATTGCTTCATATGTTCAGACACATTCCTGCAGACTCTAGTTTGCACTATTTCTAGTGCATTATCTTTATTTCTAGTTTGTTATATTTAGTCCTTCAGGACTTTTAAGATTTATTTTTTTTTTTTAACTACTTCTCTCCTTAGATGAAGACTAGACTTGATTTCGCTCTCCTGATGGAGGAGAGGTACATGTACAGGTGTATAGAGAGGAGCAAAGAGAAATGTGAGAGAGCATTTCATTAGCAGCGTGGAAGAAGGTGGTCCTAGTTTCATTGCCAAGCAGTACAAAATAGTATTTTGTATTTAAGTACCAGAGAGCAGCTTTTAAAAGGGAGCTCTGCTTTTGCTTCTGTAGTCTTAAAATAAACCTTTATCACTATAAGCCCTCACTGTGCCCTCTTTAAGGGACAGGTGACAATTTATTGGAGTATGGAACATATGTAGTTACTTTATGTAGGGGTGAAGTAAGTAGTCAGGTCATTGATAATCACTGAGAACGCTGTGAAGCCTGTGAAGTTGGAGACCAAACTGTCTGCAGTGTCTTAAGTCCTTATTTTCTGATGTGATAAGCAGTTTTCTCAAGAAATTATAGTTTGACCAGCCTTGGGGTAGTTGTTCATGGAGGGAGCAAAAGTAGCAAGATAAATCTATGGATGTATCACTATTCGTTTTGAAAAAGGAACATGAAAGCTACTTTTAGAAAGTTGCCAGTTTTCTGACATAGAAAAGAAAGAATATTCCTGTCTTGCAGTGTTCCCTGAAACAGCTAGATCATTTTGATTGAAACTTTTCCATAAAAGAGAGATAGACATGTCACATAGAAAGCATCAGTCTAAATAGTGTATCATAGCTGTAAGCAATGGAAAACAGAATGGTACAGTACAAAGCAAGTGGTGATAGTCATGTGTAGATCTGAGTTCACCATCCTGCAGGAAATAGATTAAAACCTTTATTTCCTTTTTTTTTTTTCTTTTTTCTACGTAGCTGAGTCTTTCCTCTCTTGTCTTCTTTCTGATCCAGTTTTACAATCTCAGAAAAACATTGAAACATGATGTTTAGGAAGTACTGAAGCAGTCTTGGAGCCATTAAACTTAGTACCACGTTTCTAAGGCAATCCTCTTTACTACTCATCAACGACAACGCTATTGTCATAGTATTTTGTAGATTAGAATTAATTTGAATTGATCTGAATAACACCTCTGGAGTTGATAAGCAGCATTATGCCTGTATAGACTTTAAAACTGAAGTAAGAAGATTTTAAGAGGTTTGTCAGTAGAGCACGGCAAATTAATCCCATGGATAAGAACATAACAGAATGGTGGGCTTCCATTTGGTGTGATCAGTCCTGTAGATTGTATTTTCAAGCAAGAGAGAAGGATGGCAGCAGACCTTCTTTCTGGTGTACATATCAGTAGGAAATGAAGTATCAAGAAGAAAAATGTCACTGTGTTCTGCTGGGCCTGAGTTTCTGCATGGCACAGAGCTGTCATATATCTCTATGATCATAGATCTGCTTTCTACCAAGCAACAGACTGAACAAACCGAGGCAGTTATCTGTTCTAAGGTCAGTGAAAACCTCTCGATTCTGCTTGAATTTTTGATTCCAGTTGATGGATGACACTTAATAAACCCCACCATATTTATCCTTTTCATGACAATAGTGAAGACTTCATCAGACCAACACTGAAAGAGCTGGAGAAGTTCTTTCAAGTTACATGGGTGTAGAATAGTCACTTGAATGGGCCAATACACAATTATTTTTAAGCACCTAATTTGCTATTCATTTTCTAGATGCAGAGTTTGTGTGTAGTACTATGTAATTAGTTTGATTTTTTTTTTAATTTATTGAAGAGTTGGCCAATTCTGCATCTGTAATTAAGACACCAGGGGAATGCTTGTGTTAAGCTGCTGCAAGTATTGAGTACAGTGCTATGATTAGTTAAAAATCAATATTTCTGAAGTGTTTCACTTTGTGCTTTTTTCTGAGAAAGCTGCATGCCCTAAGGCTGCTAGAAAGGCAGAGGAAAGTTCATTTCTCATCATGGCCTTTATCTCCAGAGCTGTCCTTCATTATTCCCTGGAACTATAAACTTTATGATCTGTTTTCTTTTAAGAGAGGAAGGAATTTGGTGGACCCTCCATGAGCTCACTAATACAGCTTTGCCAGTGGCTTTGCAGTTAGGAGATATGTTTTCTTCTGGAATTTCAGTTTTGATTTTTCTTTTCTAACTGTAGTAACTTGATATGTGCAAATTTTTTAATGTGGCAGTTTTAGTTTAATTTTGTTTTGAATAAGAGATGCATTTCTAATGCCAAAGCTCGAATAGCTGTTAATGCAGCACTTCATAAGCCTGAGCCTTTAGTCTTCCTGCTCTTCTGCAGTCTTGGTGTTATTCATCACAAATGACAAACACCTTTACTTTGAAAAGTGTGTTGCTGTTTTTGCATAAGCAGATGCTTCTTACTCTTTGTATGGTGTAAGACAGGTGATCAAAGAAAGCTCCTGAAGTCAAAGAGTGCTTGCATCATTCTGTAATAAAGAGAATCTTTCCTGTGTTTGGCATAAGCAGAATAGCTGTGAGGAGAGGGGCTGTCAGATACCCAGACTCTGCTGTGTCTTCAACACAGTAAGAGCAGTGTAAGCTTTTACACCATCTGCATAGTTGTCTCTAGATGGACATGGCTGGATGGGACTTCCTAATGTGATATGTGCACCTAGGCCTGCCTGAAGGAAGACATGGGAATTGATAGTTCCCTGTTCCAGCTATCCTTGATGATTTCATTCACACCCTAAAACTTTCAGATGGATTCTTTTCTCTGCAGTGCGTTGGGCACTGCATAGTTTCTTTGTTATCAAAGGAAAAGAACTTCAGGTTTGTAAGTGCTCGCATTCAGTTCTTCATCTGATTGGTTCTGCAGCAGTTTTTCTTCAGTTCAAGAGTAGTTGTTACTCTCTTGGCAAATTTGGATGCACCTAATTTAGGTGATCTCAGAATGTTTTCTTTATCAGTGTTATAGACACGCTGGAGTCAGTGAGCAGCCTTAGTAGCATTTGGCTTTCACTGCTCAGCCATATTTATTAGCTTTCTTTTCCCAGAACCACTGTCTAGAACAGCATGCTAGGTGAGTTAAAACTTTGGTCACATGTATCAGATTGTGTGTTATTCCCCAAAACACATTCTTCTGGTGCTAGGATGCTCTGCTTTCCTGTTGGAGTGAGGGCCATTGTAGCAAAAGGAGAAAATCTTCCACCAAAAAAGTGTGCACAGTTAAATTTAATCAGATCAGTAAGGAGTCTCAGAACTTAGGTTAGTATGGTGCTTTTCATAAGCCCCACTGGTGTTACTCAGTGCTGCTCTGGCATTTCAGAGGTTTTTATAATTTTTCTTTATGTAATATGTTTTCTTATTTTTTGTAAATGGAAAGGATGTTGAAAAAAAATCCCAAGAAGTGCAGCCCTTAGTTGCCTACAGCTTTTTCCCCTGGAACGTCCAATATTTGATGTTACCAACACTTTTTTTTTCTGAGTTTAAGTTTATACAGGTTCAAGAATTAAATCTGTTTCACATCTATCCTTATCACAAGACATGTCATATAAATTTATTATCTTATTTAAACACAAATGAACTGCTTTACTGTTTATAACAGGAAACTATTAATCCTATGGCTCTGCAAAGTCAGCTACTTCCATTTTATTATTTCCTACTTGGCTAGAAAGGAAGTGTGATGGGTAAAGAAAGGAAGAAATTAAATGGAGATTAAGGAGAAGTAAAATACAGACTACTTAATGCAGCAATTTCCAAGGAGAGCCAGTGATCAGTGAAAACTCTTGCGTGTACACAGCTCCATAGCATTCTGCATGCCAGTGAAACTCCTGAGCTAAGAGAGCATGAGGGAAAAGGAAAGTTGCTCACCACTCCAGGAACCTCCTTGTCCTTTCCAGGGTAGCACTGGTGTTAATGTACATTCCTTTCTGTCTCCTAACAGTAATTACCTTCACAATCAGATGTAATGGTTCCAGAATCATATGTATTCCTTTCCTAGTTCCCAAAGTTGTCCTGGTCTCACCAGCTCTGTCATTGTACAGAAGGTTTGGCTTAGCCTACTGAGAATGTTAAAAAGAGGCACCTGGTCTGATAAGTAGCTTTCTTTTCCGCTGGAGTGTGCAGTGTCTGGCAGAATCCGTTCCTCTTCCATTCATTAGCTGACCCCTATGCATGCGTTTAGTGCATTTCTTTTCTGTATTTTTTTCTGTACTCAGTCATCATGCTCATCTCAGGAGAAGCTGCACCAGCTGCCCTTTCAGCCCACGGCAGATGAACTTCATTTCCTGACAAAGCATTTCAGTACTGAGAGCATCACTGATGAGGAAGGGCGTCACTCTCCAGCCCTGCGGCCTCGATCACGCAGTCTCAGGTGAGTTCAGGTGGTATTTATTGGGTTTTTAAAATGTTGGGCACAATTATTGCATTTACAGGTGTGTTTTCAGTTCTAAGAACAGTAAGAGAAAGCTGTTTTTTTCTTTGTTGTTGTTGCATGGTTTTGAAATTAATGAACTTACACCCCACCTCGCCTAATCAGAAAATAATAGTTTTTAATATTTGTTTTAACATTTGACACTGAAGATTTGAGTTGTGACATGCTTTGCATCATCTGCTTTTGTATCTCCATCGTAAATGAAAAAATGTGATCCAAAAGCATCTCAGAGTAACCCTACAGGATGTAGATTTCCTTTAGTGAAGTTTCTTCTCAATTTTTGCTGCAGTTATATAGGGAAGCCATTACAGTCACCGTTAATAACTTTTCCAGCACAGCTTCTAAAGTGGAATGAAAACTAGAGTAGATGAAGTCAAAACCTTAAATAGAATTGCACCCACGAGCAATTTTATAATAGCACAGAAAACTGCATTAGCAGTTGGGTAATTTTTACTGTTGCTTCAGAGAATCAGCTCTTCAGGAGATAGCTATCCAGGGGTTGTTTCCTTCTGCAGTTGATTTTTTTTTTTTTCCATACTTAAAAATAGAAGCAACTAAGACTTAATCTTTCACAGAATTGTAAAATGATAGAAGTTGGAAAGGACTTCTGGAGGTCCTCTTGTCTAAACCTCATCTCAAGCAGATTGCCTTGGGACCATGTCCAGACAGGTCTTGAATTTTCCACAAACTCTCTGGGCAGTCTTTCTTGCAGTTCTCTAACAATCTTTTAAAAAAATACAAAAACAAATTCACCAACATTTTATATCATGGCAAAAGCCTTGAGTTTTGCTATGAATTTAATGCTGGACCAAGTGAATGAAAGTTGAGAGGCACATATCTTCTACAGCATCTATATAACCTTTTGTTATGAAACAAAAAGGATTCATGCAAGCAGGGATGAAGAGGTGAAATCTCCCTCATGTTGCTCCTGTGAGGGTATCAGAGGTAATACTGCTTTTAAATCAATGTCAACTGGAAATGCTGAGTCAGTGTGCCCAAGCTCAGGACTTTGACTGGAATTTGTAGTAGAAGGAAGTGAAATAGGCATAGTTAACAAGAAAATGCGTAGTGAATATCAAGTTATGGCGGAAGGGACACTTAATGATTATTTGTAATTATTTGTATGTTCTAAACTACAGTGCAGGCTGCATGATAATTGCATATGGAACTGCTAAGTGTAGTTACTCAGTTATCTACAAGAGCTGGTAAGTCCTGTAGGTAGCAGCACGCTTAATCTCTTCCAAATGCCATGTAGTAAGAGAGTAGTGATGTGATTTGTACTAAACTGTTCAAGTCTCTTTGAATGATAGTCCTACTTCAGTCCTGTTGCTGTCACTCTTAACACCAGCTATTGCTGCCCAGTGTAGCTCTAGCAATACTAATTTTTTGTAGATAGGACAGCTACTGTAGGTAGACAACCCATCACTAAAGTAATTATTGTCCTTTCTAACACAGACGTACCTCTGTCGGCATCAGGAAGCACAAAACACTATTCTTGATGCCAGGAAGATGTAAATAAAATAAAGAACCAAATTCTGTTTTTTCTTGTTAATATGAATTATCAATTTGCTGGGAATTTGATCTCTGTAAGCCCATCTAAAAGCAGAGTTATCATATCATAGCTTTATCATTTGTGACAAGACTAGATCAATCTAGTGTATTTAATATTCATTTCTGAAATACTTTCTCTAGCTCTCTGCTTTTCAGTGTGATAGTAGCCATCCTTATTGGTATTCCAAATCTTAGAGTGAAGCAACATTTTTTTTTAAACTTACTGTTTCTGATTTGTTTTTCATTTTGTTTGTTGCTAGCACTGTTAAGCTGTGTGACTCTAAAGCACCCTTATGGCTAACAAACATTCCTCCTGGCCCTCGCTCCTCAAGAAAATTGCTCCAATTGTTCGTACTATGCATCAGTGTTTGTAGGAGTTAGCACTCTGTTTGGCAGGGGGTAGCACGTCCTTGTAAACAACAAGTGTTGACATATGTGAAGACCAGACCCTATGCAGTGCACAGCTTGCTTATTTGTTTGCCCACATAAGAATTAGCTCACTTGCTGAGAGGACATTTTTACTTAATTAAAAAATTAAAAAATAAAATCTGGGCAGTTACTGTGTTGAAAGTCAGGCAGGAATTCCCTGAAAATGTAATATTTTAAAAGGTACTTAATGGTTCTGTTTGATCAGCTTTAATAAAAAGCTGATGAACAAAATACATCAGATGGGTTCCTTAACAGGCAGTCATATCTTTGTAAAGATGGCCTCATGTTTATGACTGATTGTTCACATTTATTCAGGACACCTTTAATGACTTCGATATGCAGGGGAAGGAGGTGGCCTGACACTGCAGTGCAGTTCAAAAGAGTGATGTTTGTAGAGCTGGTCACTGAAGGCAGGTGTTCTCCCATCTGTCTGCAAGAGATTCAGACTCACCTGTTAAATGAAAGGCTGTATTTTCATGTGATGCACCCATTTTGGTGCTTTAGTAGAAGAGCCTATTTCTTTATTGCCCAGAGAGGTACTTCTTAACTACCATCTCTCAGCTGTTTTGTTTTTATTTAATGTGACCTTCAAATCCTTCAAGTTACTGATTACAGAGAGCTGCCTGGGCTGCATTCGCTTCTCTTGCAACAGTTCTGTTCTTTACCCAAAGGAGATCTCTCTTCCAGGAGTAAAATGCATGGAGAACGTGTATTCTCATGCTAAACTTGGGCTGCTGCCCTCCATCTTTCCCAGTTTTCCCTTCAGCTGATGAGTGGGAGATGCTGGAGATAACAGTAGGGCTAACTAGCAGTGGCTTCTTCAAGAGCTGCCGCTGTGCATGTCCTCTGCCCACCAGTCTTCCCAGTTTTCTTGATCTCTTTCCATATTTCAGGAAAAGATTGTCTAGATAGAAAGTATTGAAGATTGCAGCAGTGAATCTTTATATTGCTGAAGTAGATGAGATCATCCTCAGTCAAGCATGCTGCTTCATCAGTTTGCTGAGCAGTGCTGCTTTAATACAGTCCTCCAGTGTGACTTACCTTGTGCTAGACCCTGCCACTAAGAATGCACAGAGGTAATTCCTAGAAAATGCCAGTTATCAGAAGAAGCTGATCAGAAAAAGCATCCAGGATGGCACCAAAGATTAATGCACACTAGTGGCCCACGCAGTCCAATTTTATCTCAAAAATTGATCCTGCTCTGCCAAGCTTAGTTTTCTTTTAGCCATTGGCTTGTCCAGAAACAGGACTAGGCCCAAGGTGTGATTGCTGTGGTTCATGCGTAGTGCTGGATGTTTCTGCATTACCTTCTCTTTATCAGTGGGAGCTTTCTGACATCCAGTAATGATGTGATTTCTATAAGGCCAAGTGATGTGATTTCTATAAGGCCAATGAATTTCTGGGGAGGAGGAAGGTCAGGACTCTGCTCACCTTCAGGGCATGTATGGTTTGTATTTTATATAACTTTAGCTCTATAGTTTTATAGTTTTTATAGTTCTTTTCTGTGTCTGGAAGTGACACAGAGCATTTAACTTCTCTGCATTTTTCTAATTTCAGCTGTCAAAGAGAAAAAAATGCAGATTCATAAACAGCTCAGTTATATGTAGTCACTGTTCAGCTAAATTTTTGTAAGATTAAATTTATGAATATGCTGCTCCTTGAAATAGCTGTCTGTGAGCTATTTTCACTTTCCAGCTTCAGATAGAGAGACCTGAGTTGTGACAAGCTAAAAACCTTTGTGGGAGAAAGATGTCGCTGAAAGTCTACAACATAATTTCATGAAGTGGAGGGAAGGGGAAGAAGAGAGCAGTTTTTCATTCTGCTGTTAAGCTTAAGGGGACAGGTATTATTCTTCTAATGTCTGCTCTGCTGAGATGAAAAACTCCCTGACAATAATCATTTCTTTGACCTGCCCGTCTGCACCAGGAAGAGAGAAGCAGCCTGCTTTTTGTCTTGAGATGTTATGCACATGCACAGTATGTGTCCTGTTTTACAGAAAATAATCTGTTCCTTTGTAAGGCTTGAAATGTTAGACTGTTTTTGTACTGCATATGAAATCTTGTGCGTGCTATATAGATGTGCAGAGCTTTTGCATTTGAAAAGCTGTCATGCCTGTACAATATATCTGAACTTTTTTTTTTCCTTAAAAATTCTCTTCCATTCTTCCATGGTAGCATTCATTACCGGCCTGGTCCTGGCTTCTTTTTCTCCTGGATATATCTCCATGATGCTGTAGAATAACCAGCAGTGCCTGGCAGCCAGCCTTGGTTAGTCACTTACCCATAGAGTCATTTCTGTAGTTTCCTTGGCTCAAGCTCAACATGAGGCAGTGTATAGATGTACTGCAGTCTTGCTGTCAGTCAGCTAGACATTTAATTTGACACGTTATATTGGGAGAATTTCGTTTAGAATGAGAGTTTGAACCTTCATCCTGGCTTTTATCCTCAGTTGTTTGAGTGTTCACCTCAATTCCAGATGGTCTAGTGGGGAAAATGGATGGTAGATGGATGGTTGGACTATATAATCTTGGAGATCTCTTCCAACCCTGCTGATTGTATGATTTTATGAAAAAGTTGTATTAATCAGCTGCCAAAAATGAGAGAGAAATCTGCCGATGCCTAAGGAAGCTAAGGAGTTTTAAGTTTTTACTTTCTGCATATCAGTAGACTCTTGTGCAAAGAAAATAAGAATTACTTTGGTTTAGATTTGTAAGAAACAGCCCCATAGTTCTCCCTTATCATTGTGGCTGCTCTTAAGGAAATACTACAACTGCTGCCAAGAAGCATGATGTCTACAGAGCACTTAAATTCCTGTATTCATATGAATAAAATGTCTTCAAAGCAAAAGCAAAAAAAAAAAAAAAGTCATGTATTTTAGCTGTAGGACAACAAATAAGCATGCACAGATTTTAGTAATACTACTTCAGCATTGAGATGGCATATGTTTGTGCCTACATATTTCTGTAGTATCAAAGGGTTTATGTGTCCTTGTAATGTACACCTCACTCAAATCACACTGAAACAGTTCATTACATAAAAATAAATTCTTCCTTAAGTATATTCACCGAAATGTTTTGCTCCAGATGAACTTCCAGGAGGCAAGTGTGTGTTTTTGCTGGTGTGTTTGAACTTAGAGAAAGAAGAATAAATGTGGTTGGTAGATGTGTGGGGAAATTTGCTTCCAAATAAGATATATAAAAGAGCTTTTAAAAAGTATTTTTTATTTATATATATCTATACATATATATAAAAAATACTTTTTAAAAGCTCTTACCCTCATGTTTATTATCTTGCATATTCTCTATGAATATAAATGTAGGCTTCTTCAGAAAGTGTTTCTTTATAGAAAACAGCTATCTACCCCACTAAGACATGCCTTCTCTTAAAAATATATATTAATGAGTAACATCTGAGCGCCCAGATCAGGTTTTCTATTGTAGCATACGTGTTCAGTGAGATATTTAGGCCAAGCTGCATTTTTTCAAGCTGAGGAATGAAACTTAATGAACCCAAAGCACAACGTAATTCATGGAATTCCAGCACTGGGCATGAAACGAGATTGCTATTGCTGTATTCTGTGAAGCAGTGAGTTAAATTTTCTCCGAATTGTAAATATCCATTCCCGAAAGAATGTTTTTCCTCTAAATAGGTTAGCAGCAAGGTAGGAACTGTAATGCATTCAGAATTTAAAATGCATTTATTCCATTTAGAGAGATTCATCGTTCACAAGTTTAAAATGTTTGAACTGATTCAAAAAGTATTGTTGTTGGATTTTTTTACGTAGAGAAAATATGTTTAGCAGTATGCATTACTCTTAAAATCGTGAGGACAGTAGTCATACAATATGCCAAATAACGGAAGCCTTCTCTCATCCCAGTTGCTAAAGCAACGTCACCAGGAAAACGCAGTGCTGCAGGCGATCCCATGGCTGGGGATTATCTGCATTACCTCACTCGGCTGCCCTCAGCAGTGGGATGAGTCAGAGCATTGCGTACCATCACGTGTGATGAAATGAGATGCAACTGTTCTTTAAAAAACACCCAAACAGTCATATAAAAACAGTCGGACAAGATTTACCGTCCTTTTTTTTTTTTTTTGGCGTGCCTTGGGAGTTGCTTGTTAACCTATGCATACATGCATATGCATCTGTTGTGTAATGTGCCTCAAGGGAGTGCAGTTTTCATATAAGCGTTCTATTCCTATTGCTATGGTATTTATATATGAGACTTAGCTGAATAGCACTGTTCACGCATCCCTGCTGCACAGACAAAGGACAGCAAAGGCATCTCAGGGTCCTTTTGCACTTCCTCTATGCCTTCCTGGCACTGCAGACTGGAGATAACAGGGACTTCTGTGCAGCCCTGGTGCCATCGCCAAGAAAGCAATGAGAGACCACAAGTGGTGGCAGATGTACCTGTAACATGTGTCCCACTCTGTCTGTGCCCATGTGTTAGGGTTCTCTGCAAGGAGCTGGTTGTCTGCCCCCCGCAGACGGGGTGAGCGATGTTTGTGATGCCTGTAAATGATGATGTACTTTCTTTTCTCCTCTAGCCCGGGTCGCTCGCCAATTTCCTTTGACAGTGAAATAATAATGATGAACCACGTGTACAAAGAAAGGTTTCCGAAGGTAAGGAATCACTTTTTGAATAATGCAGTCGATGAACTTGTGACAAAACTGGGTTAATTTGTAATACTGTGACAGACCCCTTGTCTTACTTCTAATTTCTAAGCAGTGCAGTTTGGAAGCCGCTTTCTATAAATTTCTGTATTAATTCTGCAGTGGAAAAAAATAGATAAAATATATTCAGATGGAAAAATATGAAAGGCTTTGTATATTATGTATGTATTTTGTATTTACTGAATTTCTCATTTTTTAATTGGCATGATAAATGAGCATGTGAATGAGGAGAATGGCCATGCTGTGGCTACTCAATCCGTTTCACTTGTTTGAGGCCAGCATCTCCATGTATTATCATAGAATCATTTGAGTTGGAAGGAACCCCTAAGGGCCATCCAGTCCAACTCCAGTGAACAGGACACCTACAGATCCATCAGATGCTCAGAGCCCCATCCATCTTGACCCTGAATGTCTGCAAGGACAGGGCATCCACCAACCTTCTGGGCAAACTAACCCTCAGCTTCTGCTTTGAATTCTGATTCATATCAAGGCTGAAAGAAGGATGCTTTGCTTACTTCTGTACATACTTTAAACAAGCTATTTTGGACAGTAATTTAAAAATACTGTGAGTAACATTCTCCCAACATTCTCTGTATAATAACATTAAGTTTGCTTTATACCAATCCAAACTTTTTTGGTCTTGGTAGGCTTTACATTTACATATTGGAAATGCATGTTTTCTTTTAAAGTCATTCCAAATTACGCCAGAGATTTTGACAAAAGCAAAGTTTACCACTGGGGCCTTTGGTACCAGAGAAGCAATGAAGTTAAACTTGAGTTTTCAGAAAAGCAAATTATTTCAGTGCTGAAGCGATTGCAATGAAAATAAAATGGAGGGTTTTTTGCTTATTTCTTTTAAAGCTGAATATTGAAATCCATGGAATCAAGTTTTGAGAGTTAATGTCTCACTGAAATGAGTGCAGACATTCATCTATCCCAGAGCTGTCAATATGACCATTCCCTTTCTGCTTTACCAATAGTAAAAATAGATGTTGCTCTGGTGACAGAATATTGAGGCCTAAAGTGAAAGAAATGCTGTCTGTCTGTTGCTTGGGGCAATGATTTTCAGATTTCATGGTCTTGCCTACAATTTCTGAGAGCTGCCTTGTATCTCACATCCTTATTTTGGAGACCAGGGAGGAAGGCAGCCTCAGAAGCAGGATATTTTTATAGTCATTTCCATTTTCAAATAGCATGTCCTGATTAAATGTTGTTGTTTGTCCTTGTGAATGCAGCTTTTGCCAATGGAATAATATTTTTATTCGAAGCAAAACACCGTCATTGTATTTTGGACTTTTTAAGTTTGGTGCGTTTTGTGATTGAGGATGTGACTTTAGAACCCTACTTGTCTGTGTTTAGATTTTGGGGTAGTCTAATTTAAGAATAATCTGTTTATTCTGTACTCTTAGGCCACAGCGCAGATGGAAGAGCGGCTGGCGGAGTTTATTGCCTCCAATGCTCCAGAGAACGTGCTGCAATTAGCAGATGGGGTCCTAAGTTTCATCCACCATCAAGTTATCGAACTGGCCAGAGACTGCCTAGATAAATCACGTGAAGGTCTCATTACTTCTCGCTATTTCTATGAGCTGCAGGAAAACTTGGAGAAACTTCTCCAGGATGTAAGTGCTCTCGAGAAGCAGAATACGTTATGGTGATGGAAGCTGTAGACAATAAGGCAGAGCTTTGATTTCATGAGAGGGGAAGGGTGGTGGGTAGGGGTGTCAGGAGGCCTGGGGCGTTCCAAAGTGCTGTTGATGTACCATGGGCGGATTTAAGCAGGTCACTTCACCTGTGTACATCTTTGTACAAAGGCTAAATATGCATACGAGTAAGTCAAAGGCAGTCTTCACAATTTATGAAAAATGGGTTCATCCAGATGAAGGAAATTACTGAACTTTTCTTTCATGTACTTCAAGACTCTGAATGACTTATTAATTACAATAGTGCCTTCAAGGAGTGAAATCACCACAGTTTGTAGTGTTGCTATAAATTTTTCATAAAAGATTTTCTTGAGTTGAACTTAATTCAGTTGTGGGTTATTTTTTTACCACTTCGATGTGTTTTGTGGTGTTCAAAGCATTTGAATACACAAGGGGGCACAATTTTAATGTGTGCTCAGTATGCTTCAGCTACTCATTAAAATTGCTCTTTTCCTTTAAAATAAATTCTAAGAGATTTTTTGAAGTTAATATTATGCTGTAGCTGTTGTGAGGAGTCAGTGCTATTACTTATTGCAGGGTTTGGACCTCTGTTTGGGAACATCTTCCTAATTCTATGCTTTGATTTAAGGAGATAGCAAGCTGCAAGTACAGGATTTGCAAAAATCACAGATTCAGATATTGACTGTCACTGGGAGACCTAGAATCAGTTGTATGCTATAGAAATATGATCAAGTAGAATCTAAAAAAAAACAACCCAAAAAGTCCTTCACTTGGTGGTATTGTCTGTGCAGTAGGACATGTAGTTTTATGGTATATTTTTATAAAATGTGAAAGATTGAGTGACTGCTTGATCAGTAAGGAAATGAGTAGTGGTAGCTCAGGAACTATCAGGAAGGCCCACAAATTTTCATACAATTTTACTGTGAAATTCACACAGTAATTTCAAACCACAGAAAGAACTTTCCATTTAATAGGTTGCAGGTTGAGCCTACTTTATGTTGTGAAAATGTATCCGTAACAGAGAGTAATTGGATATGTAAATAATGAGCTGTTTAAATATACCAAACCAGAAAGCTTTTAAAGATTTTAGATCTTGGCTTTTGTAATAAAATGCCAACAAATCTCATTAGTTATGGCAAATGAGGTACTTTCTCGTTTGGAGCGTGAAATATTGTCTTTTAGTCATTGCTTATTGCATCACTGAAACCATCCTGAAGTAAAAAGGATAGATTGTCTTTATTTTGGGAAACGTAAACTTGGATGCTATCCTTTACATTTAAAATAGTTATTGAAAAAGAACAGGACGTCTGATTATTTATATACTGTGTTGAAGGAATGTTCAGATGATGTACTGAGGGACCTTAAGTTTAGTGGGGAAATATTGGTGGTAGGTGGACGGCTGGACTGGATGATCTTGGAGGGCTTTCCCAACCTTGTTGATTCTATGATTCCATTACCATGGGGGTTGCTTAGGGGATGGAATAGGAGCTCAGGTTCCTTTGGTGAAAAAGGTGATAGGAGTTGTTTTCTTGGTTGAAGTGCCTCAGTGCCAAAGAACAAGGAACACTACCCAAAAGTTCCATGGTTTTATGTAGGCTCAGCCACTGGGAGGAGGGAATGAAGGACTGCAGGTATTTCTGTGCATTCAACAAAAGAAAAAGAGGAAGGTAGTGGTATTACACTATGTTCAGTGATACTGCACATTGGAAAATTGATACTCTGATTGGAATTGCTTTCTTAATATGAGCCTAAGTGTAAATTTATTGTTTCTTGGCACTGCAGGTCTATTGTTTTGGTTTCCATCTGTATATTAGCTCAATTACAGCATTGTGACTTGCATATCCCGGTTACTGGTCCCGTGAAACCCCAGGGGAGGACAGTGATTTTAATTTCATGCCCCAGTGGCTACAGTTAGTGACGGATGGGTCTTTCAGATAAGGGAATCGGTTTGTAAATTACCCCTCGCTTCCTCCCGTACACGTGTCACTGGCAATGTGTGCAGGAATGGCATCAGCCTCTCCCACAGCCCCTGAGCTCCTCTCCCCTCCCCTCGAGAGCCGGGGGGGGGACCCTGAAATGACACTGCCAACCTTCAGACAAGCGTGTCGTCATTGGGAGCTGCTAATGAGGTGTCCCACATCACACCAAGACACATGGAGGCAGCAGCACTATATAACCCTGCCTGCTTTGGGGACACTGCTGGGACAGCTGCTAAACAAGACATCTGTAGGGATGTCTGAGCTGTCCTGGGGGAGAAGGAAGCAAGAAGAGGCAGTGCTGCTGCGGATCTTGGACGAGCAGCGCTGTGCAGAGATGATGGCTGAGTGGCTGTTCCAAGTTGTGTTTCATTTTTGTCATCCTCTACTCTGTTTTGTTGTTGTTGTTTTTTTTCCTTTTGCTTTTCTTTCTCATTTGGCAGTCATGGTCTGGCTTCTCATTTTCATCACAGACACCTGATTACATTAGTTACGTTTTTAAATTATTTTGCCTAAGCTGGGGAAGATGAGAAAGAGAGAAAACAAAAAGACTTGATTAAAAAGAATAAGTTTGCTTTAGCACCATAAACAGATGCCATAAATATATATATATCTATTTCCATAATATGTAAGGGGGGAAAGGATTTTCCAATTGCATGTCTCATGTTTCATATAATACAAAGTTGTTGATGTTTTATTTATTCATTGCAGAGCAGCTAACCCCTGGTGATCTGGAGTGGCTTTTCAGCTATGAAAGCATTAATTTCTTTATAGAATTCATATTGTAACTTACGAGTTTGGATATTGCATTAAGGGGCACTGAGTGAATACTAAGCACCTTCATTTTGGTTATTCTCTGTTTTATAATTGGAAAATATCGTTTAAAAAAAATTCAATTTATTTCAATGCTTTCAAAATATTTTTTTTATAAGACTCTTATTACCAGGAAGCATCTCTGATGCTGTTTTCAGATGATGAACTAGCAATTAAGTGGTTTTTTTAGCTATGAATTTCTACCTCCATGTGTTTTATTGTTCTTCCAGGTGATTTCATGTGTGTTTTGGCTTCTTAGCTGTGTATGTCTTTTTCTTAGGTGGTTTTAATGAACAATGTTAAACAAACCTTTTCGTTTCTTGCTGCACCTTGATAAAATATAATTCCTATAAGCAACTACTGGCTCATTGCCAGCATAAGAACATTGGTTAAGTTCTGGACTTTGTGTTTGTGGGTGTGCTAAAGCCTGTTTTTTGACCTTGGAAAGAAAAAACTATACTTCATTTTAGAGGTTTTTTCATGTCATTGGAACCATCTTTCATCACCATACAACAAAATACTCTTTTATTTGTGCTTCAGGACTCCCTGTGTAACCACTGTGGTTTTGAGCAAAAGAGAGTTAACTGGGGGGAAGTGGGTATTGGTGGTCAAATTTGGCTTTGCTTTCTACTTTACCCATTTTAATGTATTTATTGTTGTAAAAAGGCATCTCCCTCTTTTCCCTTGAAACTAAACACTGAGTTTATACTCAAGTCCTGCAAATTGAAAGGAGAGAACAGGAGTAAATTCTCTGAATTAGGCTTCTGTATATTCTTTGTTGGTGTGCTTTGTTCCACAGCATGCAGTACAGTGCTGGAGTTGTTAGACGGGATTTATGAAATAGAACTGAGAAAAAACAAAGTTCAGGTTTTTCATGATGATGAACAGAAGCAGTTGGAATTCCAGCTGAATGCATAGTCTGAAAATAGGTGTAGCTGTTGGTCACTGTCTAGATTTCAGCATCGTGTGGAAGGTAAAATTGAAAAAATCAGTAATCCTGTTTTCATTTAAAAAAAAAAAAAAAGACCACATCATATCAAATATAACTTGTAGGTGATATAATGCAAGTAGAGCCTTTGAAATAGCTCTTGCATGATAAAAAGAGTCAGTTGGAATGGGAAAGCTATATGTAACTTGGCATCCTTGAGTGAGCTGAGATCATTGCCTGGCCTGACTCCGTCATGACTTTGCTGCCGAATTACAGCGACTGAGCTTTGACATATATAAATAAAGAGTTCTCTGCTAGGACCATAATGTGGTGTGCTGCTCTCCACAGGCCCACGAGCGATCCGAGAGCTCCGAGGTTGCCTTTGTTACCCAACTGGTAAAGAAGCTGATGATCATCATAGCGCGACCTGCCCGGCTGTTGGAGTGCCTGGTGAGTCTGGGCCTTGGGAGAGCACACCTGACGAGATAAGGAACACAAGAGAAGGCTTTAAATTCTCATGGAAATTCAATCGATTTTCCTTTTTTTTTTTTTTTTTTTTTTGTAATTAAAAAAAATATATATATATATATTAACTCTTTTGCATTAATATAGAAGTGTCTTCCAATGAGTTAACATTTCACTAAAAAATTCTGAAAGAATCTTCCTCATTGCTCCCGAATGATGAGGTTTGTAGGGCAGAATTACAGTAATTTTGTGATCTTGCAGCAGTGCTCTTGCACCCAAATGTTGTTTTGTATTTCCAACTGTATCTATTAGTGCAATAAAAGAGATCACACCTGCTTATAAACTTTGCTTTCCTTAGAAATTAAGTATACCAAACCTGAGCTAGGATAATCCACCCCCTACCCTGTAACAGTATTTCTTATACAGAGGTTGAAATATTCTCTGCTGGTAGATTAATAATTTTATTAACAATTCTGTTACTGATTTCTAATGTTGGGACAGTTACAAAATGAGGTGAATGGATTTACGGTTTGATTAGAAGTGATATTTGAAAGCAGAAGAGCTTCATATTGGCTTATGTCACCTGTGAGAGAGGGCAGAAGATACTTCAGCCCTCTTTTGACCTCTCATTAGAACATCTCAATGGCAAAACTAGGCTGTGGGTCCAGGTTAACGCTTACATTATAATGACCATATTATCTGATAGTTTGTTTTTTGTTCCTGCTGTCCTTGTCATGTTTTGAATGGCAGATATACAGCCAGCAGACTATAGATGTGCATTGTTTTTGCAGAGCAGGATGAAATGCGTTGTCTTGCTTGCTGAGCCCAGAATTAGCTTTGAGTGTTTCTGAGGAATCCAGATAAATTCAACTCACTCTCTCTCTCTCCTGTATGGCAATATAGTAATTGTAAAGCTGAATCATGTGCCCCTCTTTCTGTCTGTCTCACCACCTTGCTTTAGGAGTTTGATCCTGAAGAGTTCTACCACTTGTTAGAAGCAGCAGAAGGCCATGCCAAGGAAGGACAAGGAATTAAGTGCGACATTCCTCGTTACATTATCAGCCAGTTGGGACTCACCAGGGATCCCCTGGAGGGTGAGAGCTCCGGTTTTCTGCTCACCACAGTACTGAGAGGATAACCAGATCTCTGGACTCTAACTCCTGGTCATCACAAGCTCAAGGACCTTTTTTTTTTTTTTTTTTATTAGTTAATTTCTAGGCCGTTTTTCTTTATTTTCCTGTTTGCTGTCAAATTCCAGACTGTCCTTTCCATCCCCACATCTCAGAGGAGTTTTGCTGGGTTAAGGACCACACATCAGAAGTGACAGTTCCTTACTTATGGTGTTAATAATGTCTCCCTGTATTATAGCTAAAAAAAATGATAGAAAATGGCTTTATGATTTAACTGTTTTCTCTGGGCTGTTGGGCAGTAAAAGTAAATATATTATTTCTGTTCTGCCACTGCTGGAGTGCTACTGAGTTGGATTCAGTCATTTGTTCAGTTCATTTGTTGTCCTCTCTAGGAGAAGTTGTGGCTTTCCATGAGAAGCCAAGACTAGTGCAGATTTTTGAGTGGAATGTTTGTTTTTCTTCATCTTAAATAGCAGTGAAACAGAAAAGACTAAATTATATCCAACACAGTGTGTCATCAGACTAGGAGGAAGAGTGCCTCATTGCATTGTCTGATAACTGAATACTTCATGTGAGAATAGCAGCAATATTGATGCATGATTCAGTGAAGAGTTGATATATTCTGAATTTTCTAAAGTAGATCTGTTATAAACATAACATCAGTTAATTGGGAGATCTCTTGGATGTAAAAGTTTTTATTTCTGTTCCCAAAAGATATTTTCCCAGACAGTTTATGATGATTAACGTGAATTTATATTCAGAGTAAGTCTAGTTTGTGATGAAGATGATTTATTTTACTCTTTCCAGCTTTAAGAAATGTTGGATATTGCGCTTCAACATTTCATACACTTCTAAGAAGCCATAAAAATTTGCTTTTTACCTGTTACATCCAAGTCTGATCAGGTCTGGGAGATTACAATGCTTTTTGGACCCTGGATGAGTAATGTTTTAGAAGAAAGTAACAGCTTTTCTGCTAGGTCCCAGAATTGCAAACAGTAATGTGAATACGTTGTAAATGTAGAGAGCCCCAGAAGATCCTGACTTTGGAATTTGTGAGTTAATATTTCTGTCTGGCACTTTGCTAACTGACTTTCTCCTATGACAAGTTTTACGAGCACGCATGGCTTGCTCAGCAACAATAGAAAGTGTGACAGAGACTGGAGATTGCTGCAGAATATTTCAGCGATTGAACCGTACTTTTTGTTTCCTCAAGAGAGCATAATTTTAGCATAAATTAGTAGTCTGGATAGGTCTAGTTTAACTTGTATGCTGTTTACCCGAATGACAGTGACAGGTTGACTTCAAGTGAAGAGCTCTTCGGGAAAATTTATACCAAAGATTGCTAAATGCAATTTAATAGCATTTGTTGAAATCTGACATTAAAGAGAAATTTTCTTTGATCCCTGTCATGGGAGAGAACCTTTCCATCACTAATTCCCCTTACTAAAGTCAAATTTTCTTTAGAAATGTGTGGAGATGTCAAGGTGCCTTATTTCCTTTCTGTAAGGAGGGCACCCAGAAATGTCAGTGATGTCTGTTCAGAGACCAGTAGTTAATGTAGGATTTGATTCTGCAAAGTTTATGGCATCTCCTAAGACAGCTGAGTTGCCTAAACTAACTGCATTTCTCACAGTTAGCTGCTACTCAGCGTTTTGCAGACTCAGGCGCATTTCATGGAGAGAGGGTGTATGAAATGTAATTCTTTTTCTTTTCTGGAGTAGAGGTGCCACAGGGCAATATGCGTGGAATAGGTTTAACGTTACCTAGCCAGCAGTTTCCCCTAACTTGCATTTGTTGCTTATTTTAGAAACCATCTAGAATAAGTGATGCTGAGATTAGGACAATTAATTATATTCACCTCTACATAAAAGATTGCCTACAGTTTACGGGATATTAAAGGTTAGCAGTGTATAATGGGGGTGACTTTTTATGGAGGGGGGAAGTATGTCCTTCATAACCTACAAGCACCCATTGAAATCCTGTTTGTCTTGTACAAACAAAGAGAATAGTGTTTGATTGAGATCATTAGGAGTAATCTCTCCTCTTTCTTTTCAGAAATGGCCCAGCTGAATAGCTATGACAGCCCAGACACTCCTGAGACAGATGATTCAGTCGAGGTAAAGCAGTAATACACTCAATACTGTCTGGCGCTCTTTTTTTTCTCTGCAAAGAGGTAGTCTGCAATAAAGAATTAATGATAATGCAAAGTAATTTTAATTAAAAGAGGAAAAAAGAGCTGACATTCAAAAGTGCACATTAGAACTAAAGTATACACTTATAAAAACGTGCAAATCTCAGTAGTGTGGAGGTGAAATCATTAAAGATGCAAACAGGCATTAGCATCAGATTTTGTTGATGTTTCTTCAAGTTGTACATAAGAATCATTTGGAGGAACTTTATTTGCATTTGTAAAACATGATGAGAATTGAAGAGAGATGACATTAGTATCAACTGGTGGGAAAACCTAGTTATATAACTCATTAATTTTCAAACATCTGTAGTTTTTTAGTTTATTTGTATTTAAATAATACTGGGGACAGGTCCAAGCCCTCTGATTTACTGTGCTAATGCTTGTGGGGGGAATCTTCAGGGCTGCTGGGAGTACTGACAGTTATCCCAAAGCTGAGGGCTCCTGAGCTTTAGAGATGGGTTGAGATTGGATGAATGCTGCTCAAAGAAGAAATGGACAGAAAGAAGTGGCATATAGAATGAAGTTGTTCCTGCACTCTTCATTTCCTTTTCTTTGTCTTCCTTTCCCAGAGCCGTGGAGCCTCTGTCCAGTCGAAGAAAACTCCATCTGAAGAGGAGTTTGAAACTATTAAACTGATCAGTAATGGTGCTTATGGGTAAGGCTTTTTAGTCTTTGCTTTAGAAGAAAATATTGCTATCATTCTACCCAGCAAGGGATTATAGCAAAGCTAAGGAACTGAATGGATTTTGTTGGGCCCAAAGTATAAATGAATTTCGCAGAGGTCTTGAGTTCCACACTTGCGATGTTTTCTGCGTTCTTGGTTGAGATGCCATTTTTTTTATGTGTTCTGGATTTCTTATCCTATACCCCCATACCTGGAAGTAGTTCCTGACTATGACAGCCTTAACATTGTACTGAACTGATAGTTCACCCACCCCCTTAGTTTATTGTGGGATTTCCTAAACAATAGATGATGGTGGTTTTTTGTTTTTTTGTTTTTTTTAAAGGCAGTTTCAAGAGTCTGAGAAAATTATTTTGTACCCACTTCTTTACTGCTTATCAAGGCCTCCCTGCCTGAATTTCTTTCCTGGGTATTGAAGTCCTGTGATTTCTGTTTGTATGAAGGCTACCTGAGTGGGTGTGGGTAACATTTTGTAGTTATAAATGTTACTAGTGACTAGAGCTTTGAGGAAGGCTTTTCTTATAGTTTTCCATTCTTCCAAGTGTTTGTGGCTGTTTGTGAGCTCTTCAAATACATTGGAGCGAATCTGCTGTAATATGTCATGCTGTGAGAGTGCTGTTAGATTATGTTATTCATTAAAGAATCCAGGATGAAGCTGCTGGTCAGTTAAAATCTGAACTAGTTGTACAAACCTATCCAGAATTTTAAAGATGACTCCTGACTCTTTATCATTATCAGGGATATTCATTAGGCCATAACTAAGAGCAGTGATTCAGTAGGTAATAACCAACAGAACTTAAGCATGTTCTTGAGTATTTTGTTGGAGTGCATATTTAACAGCAGATTAAAAAAAAAAAAAAAAAAAAAACAGTGGAAAAAGTGCATTTTTTGGTCTTTGAAGACATGATGGAGCATGATGAAGCTCCATATTGTTAGATAAGAAGCTTTTGTATGTTTTCAGTTGTATATCTGCTTAGCCTCCGTGGTTTAAACATAAATTTGCAAAAAGTGGGGAGAGGTGTAGTTTTGCTGTTACTCATTCCTGTCTCCATGCTGGGTGTGTTTTATAGTCAGCTGCTTGTGAGACAAAATACCATGTTAAATGTAATATACTCTAGAGAAAAGGAAGCAAGTACTGATTCAATCAGGCAGGGAAACTGGATGAAAATTTTATTTGCAAACTGTATTATTAATGTGCAGGAATCTAATGATCTGCAAATGATAAAAATGTAAGAGATACTGAAGGAAATCCCTGGTGACAATGTTGCATCAAGTTAATTTTATGGAGTTTGGAAAGAAATCATGCTGATTTCATACATTTTTTGGACTTTTTTTTTTAGTGAAATGGTGACTACAGTGTTGAAAAATATAAGCCCCATTGCACTGATACTTAAAGAAGTTTGTGATATTTGTGCCTGAATTCTTTTTTTTTTAGTCACAAGAACGTTCCATAATTCTCAAAGGCAGAATAGGTTTTGAAAGGAAGCATTGTGGCATTCCTTGTTTTCTAGGGTAGATAGCAATGAGATGAGATTTTATGGAATCACAGATAAGTCAATTAGAATCCATTCAAAGGAGTTATCATCCACTGTTTATTTTTAAATAGTTCAATAGAAACTGGAACTTTTCCTCTTGGTATGTGATTTTCTAGAGCGGTGTATTTGGTGCGCCACAAGACCACCCGTCAACGTTTTGCCATGAAGAAGATCAACAAACAGAACCTAATTTTGAGAAACCAGATCCAGCAGGCTTTTGTTGAGAGAGATATCTTGACGTTTGCTGAGAACCCCTTTGTAGTCAGCATGTTCTGCTCCTTTGAGACCAAGCGCCATCTGTGCATGGTTATGGAGTACGTGGAAGGTATGTTTGTCATAACCTACAAAGAGCAAATGGCTCTTAGAATGTACACGTAGCATGTATACAGCATGTTTCATCTTAAAGGATGCTGTTTCCAAGTGATTTATAGGATACGTACTTTTGGATGTAATACTGATGAGCACACTGCTCTGATTGCAGAAAATGGGGAGGATATCTTAGGTGTGTGCTGTTTCTTTCTTCATATAGAATGAGGTTAGTCAACCTCCCAACAAGGGAGGTCATGATGCCCTTTTAGGGAAGACTATATGGACTGCTTGGGCTGGAGAAGTGAGTCATTCTACCCCTAGTGTACCTTGGCATTAGGAGATACTCCATTTTTGAATCCCAGTGACTAATCTAACATGATTGCAATGGAGATGAGGAATTATAAAGCCACATGTAGAAAAGCTGTTGGGGTCAGACTCAGCATGAACTTTCCAGTCCTCACTGGAAAGAGATCCTCCTGCTCCCTTAGGGGATGGTATGGCTAAATCCATAACACTAAGATTGTTGTATTTATTTGAAGCTCAAGAGGGAGTTGAGAAACAGTTTTGAATTCCATATAACAAGGTTGAAAGAGACAGATTTTAGGAAACTCACTGTAGTTATCTAGTACTATTGTGCTGTAGCCATTCTTATTTGTTGCTGACACTTTTTCACTGTGCCGTATTTGGAACTTACTTCTAGGGGGTGACTGTGCAACACTTCTCAAGAACATTGGTGCCCTACCTGTTGATATGGCGAGGATGTATTTTGCTGAGACTGTTTTAGCGTTGGAGTACCTGCACAATTATGGGATTGTTCACCGTGACCTAAAACCTGACAAGTAAGTCATGAACTCTTCCAAAGCTTTAGGATGAGAGCCAATTCTTCAGAGACTTTCTCCATGGGCAAGAGGATGTGGTGACTAGAGACAGTAGAGATTTTTGATGCATCTATCATGCAGGACGTTTTAGGGAGTCCCTTGCTACTGATGTGTAGAACCAAGCAGACCCAGAGAGGGAATAGGATGAACATCTTCAAATATTACCTTAGAGCTGTTGCTGCACTGCTGAAATATGGCAGAAGGCAGCCTGCCTTAGCTGAGCCATGATGTCCTGTTTCATAGGAGGTTCGTTCCAGGAGTTTAAGGGAACACTGAGAACATGCTTAGCATTGCCTTGTGTTCTTATATTTTTAATTCATTTTGAGAAACAATTAATTGAATGTTGGATTATTTTGCTTCTCTTTCTTCTAGTCTCCTGATAACTTCCATGGGTCACATTAAACTTACAGACTTTGGACTGTCTAAAATTGGGTTAATGAGTCTTACAACTAACCTTTATGAGGGACACATTGAAAAGGATACCAGGGAATTTCTGGATAAGCAGGTAAGCTTGAGCTTACTGTTTTTACAATGGGAGGAAAAGATACAAGTCCTTTATTCTACCTGTGCATTGTCTATTGTTTTTTGTTTCAGCTTCTTGTTTTGAAGTGGTGTGCTTCAGCTCTTAGTTTGGGACATCAAAGGTGTGCCCTGGGCTGCAACAGTTCTTTTAGGGATGTAATACAGTTTTTGCTGGAAGGTTGTTTCGCAGTCTCCCCCTTCTGGTGCTTAGAAAGTTTGTGGCAAGTTCCTATAGGTTCTTGTGATTTTGTCTGATGGCTTAATAATTGATTTTCATTGCCATGGTGTTTACTAGGGGTCTCTTTCCCCCTTAGCCTTCATTTTGCTAGGCTTAACCAGCCAAGTTCTTTCAGATAATGGGATAGATTTTCCTTTGATTAATTAATAGCTCTTCCATGCACCTGTTTCAGCTTGATTTCCTGGGCATGTTTAACAGGAACTATATGGTATATTCTGGATATAGGTTTCTGGTGCCATGTATAATGGGATTTAAAAGTGCTTATCTCTTCTGAAAATACCTAGGATCACAGCAGAATTTTCTTGTTTTTCTGTGCCAAGTGTTAATTCATAATCATCCTGTGGTAAACTAAGAGCACACATGGGACCATGTCTCCTTTTGCTTCTGAATCATGGTATTTTTTGTAGCAGGTGTTCTCTGGTCACTAGTTCATGGTCTTGCATTTTGCAGTATTATATTTTTTACAGCTGTTTTGCTTCTGTTGTTGTTTTGAAGCCCAAGGCAACCTAGTTAGTACTTCCAGCATGAAGTCCTTAGTGGTTGTGCCAGCTGTACATCCCAAGTTTTAATGATGACGTTTATCACCATGCTGAGTTGCTAATTCTGCATCAGTGGAACTAAATTCTGCTAATGCAGAGAAGTGGGAGTTCTGTCAAAATTCAGTCCCTGATATATATAGTCATACCAGTAGCAATCCGTCAAGCAGATAGATGTATACAGACAGAATATGATTTGAATTTGGCCACCTGTAGGCTGATTGCTTTCTTCTGTGTTTCTCTTGAGGTCTGTGGGACTCCGGAATACATTGCCCCAGAAGTGATCCTACGGCAGGGCTACGGGAAGCCGGTGGACTGGTGGGCCATGGGAGTCATCCTGTATGAGTTTCTGGTTGGCTGCGTTCCTTTCTTTGGTGACACACCTGAGGAGCTGTTTGGACAAGTGATCAGTGGTATGTTTCTGTTCTGCTCCTGTTGTGCTGCGAAGAAAATCATTGAAAATATTGAGGTTCAGTAGTTTGCTCAGGAAAGACTAGATGTAAAGCAAAGGCTTTTTAATTTGCAAGCATTTATCTTTGTGTCAAAGTAACATCTGTCTTGATTCCAGCTATTGAAAATTGTCGAGTACTATCTAGCTTAATAGCTCTGTCATTTCTCAATGAATATGCCACTGAAAACATTTCCTATTGGGAATGCTTTCTGAAACAGTATATTTTTAACACTCTTGGCAAATATCCTTTGTAAGAAGTGAATTTCAGTGAAGAAATAAACTTAATGTGTGAAATGCTTACCTGCAAATTGTTCACTATGTTCCAAGTCTAACTAGTGTGGAATGTGTGGGCATGAGATACAGCCACAGTGTTGTCAGTGTCATTGTTTATGGATTGTCATGGAAGTCCCATTTCATACTTTATTAATAGAGTTCTTAATGCTTTTTTCTCCTCCACAAGCAGTGCTTGGATTGACAGCAGCTCTAGCTGAGGCTGGATTTTATGCATTTTGGAAAATGTCAATGCTTGAATTATGTTAAGTATGCAAGCTGCTGAATTCAAGGTATTTGCAATTCTGGGGAAGTACTGAGCACTGCATTTTACGGTGTAGGAATGTGAATGGTTATTCAAATTGGTCACGAAGCAGGTAGAAAATGTCAAGTCTTTTTTTGTCCCCAGATGAAATTGCCTGGCCAGAAGGTGATGATGCACTGCCGCCAGATGCCCAGGACCTCATTTCTAAGCTCCTCCGCCAAAATCCTCTGGAAAGAATGGGGACAGGTAGGGGCCTCGCGTATAGGAAATGCCAGAAGCATGAAAAGAAACTACTGTGGCTGTGAGGCACACCAATCCATGTTGAAAAATGCTGGTATAGAGCTGGGGAAAGGTTTATGCTGGATTTGATGAAGCTCTGAAAAGTGGTTTGCACTCAGTTCAGACAGACGGCTCAGAGAAGTGTGGTGCCCCATCCCTGGAGGTGCCCAAGGCCGGGCTGGATGGTGCCCTGGGCAGCCTCATCTGGTGGGGGCAGCCAGCCCAAGGCAGGGGGTTGGAGCTCAGTGATCTTGAAGGTCCTCTCCAACCCAACCTTTCTATGATTCTGAGAAATATTACTGTTTTGTCTGGAAAACAAGGAAAGGCACCATCAAGTTTGCAACGTAGCTTCTCAAATCTCTGCTGTTCTAGTTAAGGCTTGAGGATTTTGCCTCGGTTCGAGCAGCACATAATCAGATTTCTTTGCAATTCCTTCAACTGGGGGCTTAATCCCCTACACTGAAGTGAACTCATGGGTGTAATAAAATAAATGAAAACCCACGTGTTCTTAGAGGGCTGTACTGGAGAATCCTCCAAACACACAACAAAGTCTGATAATCTGTTTGGCAAAGTCAGATACATATGGTAATCTTTTTGTATTATAATATCAGACTTGAAGTTTTACAAGCCAATGCTTCTCATTTCCTGGTAGTAAAGAAATATCAACAAACTTCAACAGCCCTCTTGTTTTAAAATCATTTGTCCAACATGGGTTGGACAGGTTATCTGTTTCGTTGACTTGATTTGTCTGATTTAATTTTGGATTTTTGATTGGAAAACCACAATTTAAGGATAAAACAAAACGAAAATGTACAGCAATTACAAAAGGCATGTATTCAGCAGACCTAACACGTGTGCATATGAGGGTGATGAATAGATCATGAATTAATAATATAATCAGATGATTTTCACATGTTTTTTCCTACATCAAATCTGTGTACTTGAAAGGTGTTTCTGTCATAGAAAAGATGTAGAGTTTCTTGCCTTACAAAATGAGTTGATAGACTGATTTTCTGATTTCTTATATACCTGTAATGCTGAGATTGCTGTTCCACTTGGCATCTCTTACTGCCACTGGCACTCAGCAAACCTTTCATCTCCTTTCCTCTGCTATTCTCTTTTTAAAAAAGAAAGTGGCATCTTTTATGAATATTAATTTCATCTGGAAAAAAAATAAGCCCACATGCTAGCATGCAGATAATCCTTCTTAGTTTTTCCTTTTGTGTACTCACGAGGTTAATAACTCAGAAGATAGTAGTTAAAAGATACTAATTCAGGAAGATATGTAAGCCCCTGCCTTGATTTAAGCAAATGGATGAGTTTATTTGTGAAAGTGGAGCTACTCGCATGCTAAGTACCTTTTAGTTTGTTCTTTTCATTTAGCTATGAACAAGGTGGTATTTAGAGTTTGGAAAACTTAAATTAAGATGTTAATTAGTTCTTAATCTTGCAATTTGCTGTAGAATGTAATAGCAGATGCTGTCTTCCAGCCCGTTTAGTCATGTGTAGTCATTAAATATGAAGAGGAGGTAGGAAGGGAGAAATCTCATTCAGATTTTACCCTGTGTAACCACTTTGGTGAAAGGATGAGTTGTTTCTCAAAATTCCTGGAAAAAGCATGACTTAAATGTACTCAGGTACATTCTTGTAGACTCTTGATATTTCTAGGGTTTGTTTTTCTTGTTATGCAAATGCTGAAAGAAATACCCTGCAATAAAAGATTCCTCTTTCAGGTAGTGCCTTTGAAGTGAAACAGCATCGGTTCTTTAAGGATTTGGACTGGAATGGATTACTTCGGCAGAAAGCTGAATTCATCCCCCAGTTGGAGTCCGAGGATGACACAAGCTATTTTGACAGTAAGACTGAAGATTAAGCATAAACTGCATCATACTTTTTGTGCCTACTTCATTTCTGAAATTGTCAAAGATAAGACATTGTTAGAAATTGAATAGAGCACTGGATGAAAATTACTTCAGAAAGTTTCTGTAGAATGCCAAGTAAGGCTTCTTTGAAAGCAAATGAGTTTTAAATGAAAAAACATTACTGTTGAAGTCAATTGGCCTTTCAGTGGTGCCTGTGAACTTGCCAGCCGTGGCCCAGTAATGAGATGCTGTGTTCGTTGTGCTCGTTTATCACAGTACTTCTAAAGCATTTGGTGTATTCAACTTCTCTGAGTTTTTGAGTGATGTTTTTTTTTCCTATAAACTGTTTTCAGCTAGCCCAACAAAAAAACCACAACCCAGTTTGGGGGAGAGGCTTTTAGGCTAGGGGTAGAGGTACGGGAGGGGACCTGCTCAGCAGGTTATCGGGATGGTTTTGATGCAATCACTGTATAAAGGCTGGGAGTCTCACATCAAGAAGTATCTCACAGAGACATTGATAAAGGCTGGCATTGCTGTTATAAACCCTAATGCAGAAAATTTTAGATTTTATAAAAAGTAGCTTTCTGGCTGATACAGTGCAGTAAATTTGGCTCAGTACAGCTATCAGCTTTCTGTAGCCAAACTTATTAACGTCCCCCTCTGCAAAATCTAATGTGGCTGGCTTAGAATTACAGTGCTGCAAATCTCATAGCACAAAATCTCTTTGGAGGCAGTTTAGATTTTTTGCATTAAAAATAGCTTTGCATATTGGCTGCTTGCCCATTTTCTTTCATAAAATTTAATCCTTTTCTAGTTCTGGGAGGGAGGAGAGGAAATATTTTGAGGGGTAAATATTTTTGTTTTTTGAAGAAGGCTTGCATCTATGTATGCAGGGTAGGCTTCTTGCTATCATAAAGCTGTTGATTGGAAATTGGGGCAATGAATTATTTCCTTGTTTCTTTCCATAGGATTGTATGCCTTAGGGAAGAAATATTCTTACTACAAAGGGTCTGAAGGATTAGACACACAGAGAATTTGTGCTGAGTATCAGCATCTCGAGCATAATATAGCTGATGATATAAGATAAATTCAGTAGGAAGGAGGTATTCTTCCTTGCTAGGTGTACAGGATGAGCAAAACTGCCTGAATATGTTTCATTGTTACAGAGAATACACATCATGGCATATGAACGCTTAGAGTTCTTTGTAAGTAGACAAGTAGGAATTGACACAAAGGCTGTTCTGGGGTAAGCACACATTGCTTGAGGTGTATCAGTACTCCATGCACTGATGAAATCTGCCATGTCTGGTTCGCAGCCCGATCCGAACGGTACCAGCACCTGGATTCAGAAGAGGAGGAGGACACTAATGATGATGATCATGTGGAAATTCGGCAGTTTTCCTCGTGCTCACCAAGGTTTAGCAAGGTAGGAGCATGCTGCCTTGTAGAAAACACAAATCTAGAGAGGAACACTGTTTCAGAGGCTTTGGTGCTGCATATGAGGTAGATTTTAATCACGCAGATGATATGTGGGAGTCACACAGTGTTTAGTATTTGCTGAGGAAGGAAAGAAATCTGTATGTATTTGTTAGCTCTGTGGTAGTTTGTGGCCTGTTAGAAGGTGGGTGAAAGGCTAATTGAAGAATGACATTTTGTGTTTCTTAGTGTTTTGCTAATATGCAGGGCATTGCAGAGGTCTGTTGTGTATGTGAGTGATGTTTTTACTAATGATTTGGATTCTGGCATAGGGAGTGTCCAAAGCTTGTTTGCTTTGAATAGTGCTGTTCTAAAAAGGGTATTCTAATAGGTGACAAGGTGGTATTATGATGAAAACTGATGTTGACATTTTGAAATAGTGGTCTAATATCGAAGGGATCCCATGCAGTAAGAGTAAATGCAAAGTTCTACACCTATGCTATTCATTGTTTTGAACAAAAGGTGAGGTGACAGTTTGAAAGAAAAGGATCGTGTGTTAAATATGCTAGGCTGTTGAGGCAAAAAGCAGCTATTATAAGGAGCAGGAAAGAATGTTTTCTGCAAGGCAAATGAAGTAATCCTTTCTATGGGCTTAGTAGTAGGTGCAGCTTAGCTAGAGTGCTTTGTCCTATTCTGGGAAATGTTCTCAAAAATAAATGTGGACCAGTAAAGAGAGTCCGGAGGAAAGCAAAAAGAATTATCCAGGGTCTACAAAGGATAAAACCTAAAATGTTCTAGAAGAAAGGGAGTACATTATTCTTCCTGTTCTACCCAAAATAGGTATGGAAGCATGGGTGCGAAGGAGTTGTGCAATAGATGGTAAGAAGTTTCCAATGTTGAAAATTAATTATGCACTGGATTGCCTGGGGAGCTGCTAGAATTTCCATCACTGGTGGTTTTTAAGAACAGGTTGGAGAAACATCTGCCAGGTGATTAAAAGAAAGTGGTTCTGCTCTGAGGCAGGGGAATGGACAGGATGCCCCGAGGATGCTCCTTCTAGCCATGCTTTCTGGATTCAATATGCCTTACTCAGGCCTGTGCAGTTCTCTCATTCTGCTTCAGATGATTATTCAGATGAAATATCCCAGATATTTCAAAGTAGTACAAATCCACTATTAGCTTGGATAAAGCAGATTATGTTTGGGAGAGGCAGAAAGGCGAAGAAATGCTCTTTTAAGGCCAGCCTGCTCTACGAACAATATTCCAACTTCTTGGGAGATGGAAGAAGGCATTTTACTTAGGGACTCTGAAAGATTTCAGTTCTTTATGACAGTTCCTCCAGATTTTCACTGTTGAGGTCAATTTTGAAGCACAATTTCATTCTTTGTCTTCAGATGGGCTACAGTAGCTTAAGTAGCAGTTACCATTAATTTTATGGAGCCACTCCTGATTTGCATGACCAAAAGTGTGTTTAAAATTGGACCTGAGGATTAGTTGGGATTTTGAAAAAGTTCTCGTGAGCGTGTAAGAGTTTCTTTTTTTCTGTTTTTTCTCACCATGAGTATTATTCTTCTGTTAGAATGGAGCTTTTCTTTAGGGTTCAATGTTTTTGCCACAAAGAGAAAAAGTTCACTTTTAATGAATTTATTTTAAGACCTGGAAAATTATACAGCATTTGTAATGTGGGAGGCATAAAAGGCTCATTATATTTTGAAATTCTTGTCTGACAATTCAGCCATATGATTTATTAATAGTTATCTTGTTGATGCTCTGAATTTTTAATAACATTATTTTCATTAATCTCTTCTTATGTAAATTAGGTCCACAGTCAAGTGTAGTTTTAAAAGGATGGCTTTTTTTTGCTTAATCATTTAATTATTTAAAGACGGCTGTAAAACCAAGAAAGGCACTTTCATTAAGCTGTCAGCATTATAGTAGATTCTTTGAGGAGGGCAGGACTTTTTTGTTCTGAAAGAAGCTCGGGGCAATGCTGATAGACTGCTGATAATGAAATGGGGTCATGAGCGTGATGCCTATCACTGAATTGAATTTGTGTAGTAAGATTTCAAGATTCAGATGCCAGCCTTCCAGGCTGGTGGAGTCTGCTTGTGGAATTTTTCTCCGTGGATTTGAGAGCTGTTACAAGCAAACATCAATTAGTTTCCATAAAAATCTTGGTGTTTCTGTGGTGTGATGGGCTGCTTTTGGAGGACAGGTGTTGGGTGCCGTTGTAGAAAAGCACATTTGTTCAACGTTTCTGGAGGTTGCCTTTTTCCCTTTCTCCCTGGCACACATCTGCACTGCATTATTTAGTCAGAGAGCATTGCCACTCACACCTCCAAGGAATGTCTTCCATTTTGAGAAAAAATTGTGCCCCTTGATCAGAAGAGGGCCAGGTAAGATAAATATGCTTTCTCTGTACAGAAGGCTCTTCTGCTATGTGCAGGTGTACAGCAGCATGGAACGCCTTTCCATCCATGAAGAGAGGAAGACTCCACCGCCAACTAAACGGAGTCTGAGTGAAGAAAAGGATGACCGGCTGGACAGCCTGGGTGGCTTGAAGAGTCGGGACCGCAGCTGGGTGATCGGGTCTCCTGAAATGTAAGTCCAGCACGGCTCAGTACTTGGTTTTCTTACAGTATATGAGGAAGACTGACCTGTGCCAAAACTCTGTGTCCTCTGTTAGGTCAGGAATGCTTCACACAATACATTTCCGCAGATGAAACCCAATGAGTGGAATAAATAGCTGAAAACAAATGTCCTTACATGTATGCATTTAAGTACTAATCTTTCCTAAATTTATAGCAAATTCCTTAAGTGAATTTAAAGGAATTCTAACTTTCAGTAAAGCTTTCCTTTGTGAAAATACTCATTATGTTGGAGATGTATCAACAGCAGATTTTTCTTCAACATCAGAGAATCCAAAGTCTGTTCTTTTTTGTCATTTGTCATACATTAGAAAACCGTTAGTCGAAGAGCATTAGTTAAGACAGTCCAAAGTTTCCAAAGTTCAGAATATCCCCCCAAAAATCTTTTGTTCTAATAAAAAACATCAGGAAAATATAGAAATGCCCAGAATTTGGATAGCCACTACATTTCCAACATAACTGAAATAATTGTCAAACTTGTCTTGAAAAAGGACTCTCATTTTGTACAGCTTCTGTAAAGCTTTTACACTGAAATTTGGCATTGGAAAGATCATAAAATGTGGTTGTGATCGAGTCTGTATGACTCCATTCAAAAAACGTTTTATAGATTATGTTTTCTTGAATCAGGCCTTCCTGGCTTGAAGTTCACAACCGCTTTGAAAGAAAAATTAATGTAATACCAAGAGGACGATGATTTGTATTTTGCAATTGTGAATTTTGTAAGATTTGTAATTATATTTATTGCATTATATTTTTCTTTGGTTTTATTCCTTGCTTTCTTAGAAGCTTAACAATGGAATATACTGGAAATCTAAATTCAGGTGATGCCCTCAAAGCTTTGCTGTTTTAAGTCCTAGTGGTGCAGCTCAGTCTCATAACTTCACCTTAAATTGACTTCAGAGGCGTGAGCTGGATCTGTGCACCTTTTGCCCTTCAAAATTCATTATCCCACCGCTTTAACAGAGGGGCTCTGTCTTGTGTTCTCCCTCAGACTACGTAAGCGCCTGTCGATGTCCGAATCCTCGCACACAGAGAGTGACTCCAGCCCACCCCTGACCGTCCGCCGGCGCTGCTCAGGGCTCCTCGACATGCCGCGCTTCGCCATCTCTGCTGAGGACGAGGGAGCCGTGCTCAAAAGGCCTCAGTCAGAGGGGATGCTGCTATCGGCCGTGCAGTCTCCGGTGCCCATTCCAGAGCAGCCCGTGGAGCACGAGCTGCAGCTGGAGGGCGATGCTGGGCCCACCACCCCCTGCATGGCTGTCAGCAGCACCACGACACTGACAGGTACGGACCCCGTGTGATGGTGTCGCGCTCTGCCAGAGCGCTGTGTTAGCTTACAGGTGCTAACTGCATGAAACTGGATTTAGGTGTTGGGTGAAATGTGTGTCTCATGCTATGGCATGGTTGACAGCCCTGCCTGTGGCAGGGGCTTGGAACTGTGTGATCTTTGAGGTCTCTTCCAACTCAAGCCATTCTATCCTAGTATAGTTTCATTGCTGTGCTTCCCTTTAATATAACATCAGTCTAATCTCTTTAAAATTACATCTTTTATTTTAGTCCTTCACTTAAAGATCTTCCCATGCTGAGATCCATATAATCAGTGCCTGCTTAAAATGATGTGGTACATGAGTCAGAGCAGATGACTGCTGAGTTGGGGCTGGAGAAATATGGGTGTTTGGCCATACTGAAAGATCCCCGCTTCCTATGATTATTTATCTGAAAGTTTTGAGTAGAGGCTTGAACTAACAATAGCACAAGAGATAATGACTTTAAGTTGCCTTAGGGGAGATTCTGGTTGGATTTTAGGAACAATTTCTTCTCATAAAGAGCGGTGATGTACTGGCACAGGCTGCCCACAGAGGTGATAGGGTCACTGTTCCTGAAGGTGTTTGAGACCTGTGGAGATGTGGCACTGAGGGACATAGCATGGTGGGATGTGTTTGGGATTGGACTGGGTGATCTTAGAGGTCTTTTCCAACCTCAACGATCCTGTGATTCTGTGAAATTTGCTGGGGACACGGGGTTTGCATGCTACTTGCTGTCTCAGACAAATAAACCTAAATTTAATCAAGTTGCAGTCTTAAAAAATGCATCTTGCATAGGTAAAGTAGTGTTAGAAATCAGTATGTGACTTCCCAGAAGCTTTGTCTTTTCTGGAGCCATTTCCCAGTGCTGGGCTGAACAGAACTTTGCAATGGTGCCCTGGAAGAAACCAGTTGCTGGGAGCAAGCAGGCAAAGAGGTTGTGGATAGGTTGTAAAGGGAGGGGTGATTGAGCATGGAGTCAGAGTGGCAGTGGGACTAGGCAAGGACAAGCCGAGAGGCACTGGGAGGATGTGATATTGGGTTGTTAGGAGGTGGAGAGACCTTAAAGCAGATTTGCCTCCAGACTGGAGTGAGGCCCAAGATTACCATTTCTCATTATCCCTCTTCTGCAATCCAGTCTGTTAAAATTACTCCAGAGTTGTCCCAGTTGTCCCTACCTCCCAGAAGCTCATCCTCCCAGAAGAGACCATGACTTTCTCCATTAACTCATGTGAGAAGGTGTAGGGATGAATGAAGGAGGTAACCCACCACGTACTTGAATCACATTCTGCAATCCATTGTGACTCCCATAGCGAAACCATGAGATAGGAACCTTAGCTTTCTAACTCTGGCTGTTAAATGTTGAACTGGCATTGGGTAGTCTTTGGGACTGGTGCTCTGAATTTTTATTTGCATGGTATTTTCTGCTTTACTTAGTATGCAGAGCAGTGGTGCCCACTTAAAGAGCAATGATCAATGTTTTGTTCTGTCCTCATTGTTCAAAATGTGCCCCTTAGGCTTTATTTATTGCACGCTGTTCAAAACTTGCTTTTGAAGACAGAATGATTAATTTCCCTTGTGAACTTGCAGCGATGCTCACCCCTTTAATTTCCGAGCACCTTGTAAATTCTAATTAATGTCTTTTCACAGTGCCCCTTGAAGGTATCAGATGGGGAACTGAGGCACAGAGCTCATGTACACCCCCAGCATCTGCTGATGCTGTGTGCCCAGGCTGATGTTCAAGATTATTTTGTGTTTTATATATAACTATAGAAGGTTAAGTAACTGAAGACTAAATTGCAGTGGTACACAGAAGGGGGCAAATTGAGATAGTCTTTCCAACCACATTTTTGCTTTCCCTGGCTTTAGTACCTTCATATTCTCTTGAAGTGGCTTTTTTATGTGCAAGCTCCAATAAAACCTGGTTCTGCTATTACAGGCAGGTTTTAACTTACGGATTGACGGTTCTTGCTGATTGTAAAAATGGAGCACTTTCCATAAACCTGTTTACATCTCTGAACAATTTCATCCAAATGGCTTGCTTGCAGAATTGCAGCACGGATTTAGGATTCGTGTAACTCCACCACTGAGCAATGTGATTTCATTCGCAAGCTTTTCCAGCAGAATAGAAGCCTCTAATTTTCTGTGTTCAGAATAACACCATTTCTGTAAATAAAAATTCAAGCCCTGGGGTTTCTTCTTAGGAAAATTTACTCTTGGACTACATGTAAACATGACTTTGATTTAATGTATTTTGCCTGTAGGAGAATAGACTGTTAGGAATTCCCTGTGGTTCTAATCTGTTTTAATTTAAACTGTAGCTGGGAGCACTGCAGACTTCTCTGATCCACGCGCTCGCAGTAACAGCAACGAGGGCCCAGACTTCACCACTCCTAAAGCCATCAGCGACTTGGCAGTGCGGCGCGCGCGGCACAGGTTGCTCTCCGGGGAATCGGGCGAGAAACGCACCTCGAGACCAGTCAATAAAGTGATTAAATCAGCGTCCGCCACTGCCTTGTCTCTCATGATTCCCTCAGGTAAGAAGTGCCTCGGGCTGGGTGCTGGGAGAATCTGCCAGCACACTCAACAGATCCGCAGGCGAATCCTTCCCCTCTCCTGGAGCGGTGCCCTCGCTGGCAGGAGGGGAGCGATCTGACCCGTGCTGTTGGTGACTGTTTGCTGCTCACTGGGATAGCAGTGCTGCTTTGCCACAGGCAACGTACTGTGTGTGGTCTGAGCTCAGCTTCTGCACCCAGCAGCTTTCCACGAGCCGGTCCGTTAGAAGCAGCTCTTGGAGCAGCAGAAGCTGGTTCCTGTGCAGCATGAAGTGTATCAGTGTGGAACAGCTTTTAACCTTCAGGGTGTTATTTATTCTGTGGGGGGGACAGCCAGCTCGGGAACTGTGTGTATGTGCCTTGTTCGTGCGTCAGGGGAGTTTCAGTGTCTCACGTAACTGAGCATTCAAGAATTTGATGGTGTAAATAAGTCACAGTGTAAGCTGATGTTGCTGTCCTGGCTCTATCTCTACATAGAGCCATACCTTGATGATTCCTAACGCCAGGCACCAACTTCTGGTGTACAGCACGTGGAGGCAGCACTCCCACAGACCACTCTGACAGCCCTCTCCCCCTATAAGGACTTTATCCCTCTTTCTGGAGGATAAGGCCTTGCTGCATTCCCAGGACGGCACCTGCCTGAGACTGGGAGGCTGTGCCAAAGCAGCAGAGCCTGCTGGCAGAGCAGTGCCTGCCTGTCTTGCTGGGAGCTGGAGGCAGCTACAGAAATGCTTCTGGGCACCTCGTGGTGGTGCACATTTCATTCCTTGTGGACTGAGCACTGGTTGCTTTCTGATCCAGAAACTTACGAAAATCTCTAAGATATGTTTTTAATCACCCAGCAAAAGTCCTTCCAAAGCTGTGCTCATCTGCCAGATAAATAATGTGCTGGGTAATTCAGCAGGTGTTTCGTAGTGAGTTTGGGATTACCCTTTACAGCTGCATTTAATAATCCTACCATTTGGGATTTTTTTACTGATATTGACCAGCTTCACTCTGAAGTGAGAGCTCTGTATTTGCTTTGTATTTTCGGAAGAGGATGTTGTTGTACAGCCAGGTGCTTTAGCCTGGCTAAGCCACTTGAGTGGCACATTTAGGCAGCTGAGACACATAAGTGAGAATTCAACTCCTCAGCTGTGTGGGAAATGTATTCTAACATACACCTGTGATGTTGTTTTCTAGTAGCAAAGTCCTGCAATGGCTGCTTTGTAGAGATAAGTATCTTTGTCCCTAAGAATTTAAAACACTACCAGAAATTACCTGCAAGTAGTTGTCATATTCAAAACTGATTTTTCTTTTAAAACTACTGATTTTGACTGATGGCAGCACCAATGTGTTATTTGCACCAAAATCTAGAAATGATCTGATCTTTTGGGGAAGGGGGGTAATAAATCATACCCTTGGGCTAGAGTATTCCAGCATTGAATCTAGAGTCATTAACTATGATAGGTTGATAGGAAACAGGAGAATTAAATGCTGTGACCCAGCTGTAATTGTAGGCAAGCAAGATACACGTTACTAAACATGCTGTCTGGAAACTTCACTGGGTTTTGTATTTTGAAACATGAATTAGTTGAAGCTGCAGGAAAAAGTCACCAGCTCTAAGAGCATTGGGAGAGATGATTTCCTAGCTGTTCTCTAACAAGAATTTTCTCTCTTTTGGAGGCCTGCTTTCCTAATTTTTGCACACCTTTGTGTCATCACTGTAGATCACCACACGTGTTCCCCATTGGCTAGTCCAATGTCACCTCATTCTCTATCCTCAAACCCATCTTCGAGGGACTCCTCACCCAGCCGCGACTTTTCTCCTGCTATCGCAAACCTGAAACCACCAATCATCATCCATCGGGCTGGAAAGAAATACGGTTTCACTCTGCGTGCCATTCGCGTCTATATGGGTGACAGTGATATCTACACTGTGCATCACATGGTCTGGGTATGTCTCTGCTTTTCTAAGGAGTGCCCTTGGGTCCAGAAACGTAGTTAGCTGGGAGCGTGGGATTTAGCTTTATAAATTGCATTTTGCCACCCTGTTTTTTTCTCCTTCCATGAACCCAAAGTTAGCATTTTTTGGGTGGGGGAAACCCGTTTGACTGTAGCAGGTTTCAAGCCCATCACAGAACCATAGCAACCTTTCTTCTTTCTTTCTGCCCTGGTTACATGTATTCACTTCCTTTCACTTGTAGCACATACTTTGAAGCATGTTTCTATGTACATACTGTCTTTCTCTTTAGTGAGGTTGTTGCATGAGGGTGAGTTACAGCTAATTTGTTCAGACTTGCGTTAGCAATTGTAGCCTGCTTTGGATCAGCTCACTCTGCTGGGATTTTCCAAGCAGTCACTTGGAATTGATTACAAGCCTTGAAGCATCACTGCTGCTATGCTGACTGCCGAGGGATTTAGCTCTTGGCGTAGTTGCATGCTATGCTAAAAGGTCTGGTTTCCATGTCTGTATCTATTTCTCCCCGTTACTGCTGGTGCTTGATCTCTGCGTTCCTCTTTTGTTAACGTGTGTGACTTCTGGGAGTGTCCTGTTCCCTGACATGGGGTGATTTGACTTTTGCAGTTAGAGAGAACAGAAAAAGGGTAAAGGTGGTTCATCCTTTTTCCTTGTATGTCTGCTCATTAGACAATTCAGGCTTAATGTATTTTGGTCATCATTTAACACTCATTCTTAGCTAGAAAAATAATCTGAAGCTGCATTTTTCCCTTGCTCCTCTTGGCTGTCCTGGGAAAATGCTGAATTTACCAATATTCTGATATTGTTTTGCTGTTAGAGGGAGAGCTGCAGAATTCTTGAGCATGAATGTCACCTCACTATAAAGAAGGTTTGCCTTTTTAAACTGTGATGGGGAAAGGCAATGAGCCGGATAGGTCAGTAAAGGGTGGAAAGTGGAAAAAGACACTCTGGGATTAAATTGAATACAGGCAGCCTAAACACATGGCACAGTCCTATTTAAAAGTCTATCAGCCTTGGATTCCAGCATGTATATGGTAGAATGACAAGGCAATTGAAAAAGATTGAAGTCTTGCCTGGAAATCAAGAGTATCTAGTTAACATTCCTGAGTACTGAAAATTTTGGGAAGAGTATTGAATCTCTTGCTTTGGGAGGAGCTGGTTGCTTGATCAGGTTAACCATCCTGGCTGTCAGCCTTGGATCAGGAGAGACTGTCGGGAAGCTGGGGAGGAATGGAAGAGTGGGCTGTGCCAGTCAGTGGTTCCCTTTACCCTCCATTGAAGCAGCTAATGCGAAGGATGAGCTGGGTTGGCATTGCGTTTGATCGGCCAGCAGTTTTGTACATTCCTCTCCTCAAATCAGTCATCCCCTTCTCATTGCCAGCACGTGGAGGAAGGTGGTCCAGCGAACGAAGCAGGGCTGCGTGAAGGGGATCTGATAACCCACGTCAACGGGGAGCCGGTCCATGGGCTGGTGCACACTGAAGTGGTGGAGCTGATCCTGAAGGTGGGGACTCAGCACTGTTAGATAGTGGAAAATAAACAAGCTGTCTCGTATTTTGCATATTACCTAAAACACTGTAGATATCTAATTGGCATTGTCTGAAATACAAGTGTGTACATCGCACCTGGCCGTTGTTTTGCAAAAACTCCTTGCTGAAGCTTGATCCCTAAATCTCCAAAATTGATTGTGCATTGTTTAAGCTGAACTCAGGTATTCTCTTTGACATTAAGAACCTGTCAAATGCTTTTGACAGCACTGGGGACAAAGGTTAATAAGATTCAAGTGTATCTTTCCTCAACACTTTATGAAACAAGTACCTTAAAAAAATTCCAGTTTACTTTTTTTTTTGCCTTTAGGCTGTGCTAATGTTATTAGCTCTTAATACTGCTTTCTCAAGGATTATTCCCAGTGGTATTTAAAAGCAGCTTTGTAATGGTTGGTCTTAAAATTATCCAGTTAAATGACTTGCTTTTTGATACCTCCTCTGGGCTGAATCCATTTATGGAAATAAAACCCAAAGTTTTGGACCGTTCCAAGAGACAGAATTCTTTGGGAGGAGCAATCAGAATTTTTTTATTTTTAAGAGTGAGACAAACCATGCTCTGTGCTGCTGCTTTGGCATGATGGATGCCTGCTGTGCTCACACCTGCCTTCAGTCAGAGCGCAGGGAATAGGATTGGTGGCAGAATATCACTTTGTTCAACTTTCCAAGAATAACAAGTATTAAGCAGTTGGAGAGGTCAGGTGCTGTGTTCCCTCTGCTCTGGGAAGCTTTACCAGCTACCAACTGGGATCTGATCTAATCATTTGTGAAAGCCTGACTAAAGAGGGCCCTCTCTCAGCAATTCCTTAATAAATGATAAGTGGAAATGCAAAGGGGGAAATGGAGTTTGACAACAATTACAAAATGGCAGGCAGTAATGAACTAGCAGCCTACCTGCTTGGCCTGCAGATGTGCTTCATAAAGCTGTGTTTTCAGCTGTGTTCATGTCTTGTTTCTGACAGAGTGGAAATAAGGTGTCCATCTCCACTACGCCATTTGAGAACACATCCATCAAAGTTGGGCCAGCTCGAAAGGCCAGCTACAAATCCAAGATGGCACGCAGGAACAAGAAGAGCAAAACTAAGGATGGTCAGGAAAGGTTTGTTGTGTTGGTTCTCCTTTGGACGTAAAATTGACCAAAATATGACAACAGAGGTAAATAAATACTTAGGGCTTGTAAACAACTTTTAATATTTTCCACAGTAAGAAGAAGAGTTCTTTGCTGAGGAAGATCACCAAACAGGCATCACTGCTTCACACCAGCCGTAGTTTATCTTCACTGAACCGCTCTCTGTCTTCTGGAGAAAGTGTGCCTGGCTCTCCAACTCACAACCTGTCGCCCCGGTCACCCACACAGAGCTATAGATCCACTCCTGAGTCTGTACATTCAGGTAAAAAACAAAAAACAAAAAACAACAAACACAACACAAAACTCAGGGAAGAATTTTGCATTGATAAATTTTTGAAGTAAAATACCCAGCAGCAGGTAGCAAATCTGTTTCTAAAGTAAAATGACAGCTGTGATTACTTCAAGAATGAATGTGTTCTCATTTGCTTAGTCATTTAAAAATGAAAATCCATACACCCTTTTAAGAATGCATTTGCTGAACTATAGCATCCTTTCACTTTGATGCAAACATGTATTGTAAATTGCAGTGGTTTTGTAGCCATTTGACACATTTTCTCTATTATTTTGGGAAAAAAAGGAAATAAATTGGTGTTCATATTATGAGCCTACTGACAGTGAAGAGATTTACATCACATGAATAGCACTGGAACATGCGGCTTATCTATTTAGAGGGGATTTTTTGCAGAAAAACATTCTGATAGCATAGTTTTTTGCTATATTCTGGTGTTGTGACAATGGTGTGAATTTTCAATCAGAAAACATGGAATATTATCTCATAATATTTTACTGCACTGCTTGATAATAACATGACACTTTGTCTTGACTTCGCACATCTTATTTTCAGTAACTCCTTTGAATGATCAGATATGTATTAATCTTTTGGTCTTGTTTTGTTGGTTCTTTTTCTCTCTTAAGTTGGTGGCAATTCTTCCCAGAGCAGCTCTCCCAGTTCCAGTGTTCCCAATTCTCCAGCCAGCTCTGGGCACATCCGACCAAGTTCACTGCATGGACTGGCACCAAAGCTTCAAAGGCAGTACAGATCTCCAAGGCGTAAGTCTGCAGGAAATATCCCTCTGTCACCACTAGCTCACACTCCATCACCAACCCCACAGTCCACATCACCACAGCGCTCCCCATCTCCTTTACCAGGACACTCGATTGGCAGCTCCAGTATTATTCAGTCTTTTCCAGTAAAACTACACTCCTCTCCACCACTGGTGAGGCAGATTTCTCGCCCCAAAAGTGCTGAGCCCCCTCGATCTCCTTTGCTAAAGAGAGTGCAGTCAGCTGAGAAACTAGCTGCCTCACTGTCCTCTTCTGAGAAGAAGCTGACGTCCTCACGGAAGCACAGCTTGGATATCTCTCACTCTGAGTTCAAGAAGGAGATGCTACAGAGGGATCCGAGTCTGCAGAGCTTACAGGAGTCTGTGAATGAAACAACAGGTGGCAAACTTGGGCTAGCGGAAAAAGGGATGTTGCAGAAGCCGGGTTCCCGAAAGTTGGGTGCAATCCGACAGGACAGAGTGGAGAGAAGGGAGTCTCTGCAGAAGCAGGAGGCCATAAGAGAAGTAGATTCTTCTGAAGACGAAACAGATGATGGTTCGGAGGATAGTCAAGATGGAAGAAGATTGGACAAGCCCCCAGATAGCGGAGACCAAGGCTCAGATTCTTATAATGGGGATAATAAGTTTTCCTCGAAATTGGAAAGCAAGGATAGTATGGAAGATGATGCCTTTCTACCTGAAGATCCAAAAGGTACAGAAGATTTGCAGAAAGGAAACAGTCAACAAACCAAGGCTGTTTCTGAGCTGCTGCAAGTTGGTGTGCACCCTTCCCCATCAGAGGTCCTCCCACGAACCTCTCCAGAAAACGTAGCTGGTTCAGAAAAGCCATTCCTAAGGCCAGAAACCACTTCAAAGGAGCATAAATTGGTAGAAAACAAAACCTGTGAGCATTTTGGTCCAAAAGGCAAATCTTCTGAAGCAGTCAGAGATTTAGGGGGAACTACCAGTACTCAAAAACCGGTGGACTGCACAGGAAGTATAAAGTGCCCATCTGTCAAACTCCCTGAGCTTGTACAGGATGACTCTGCAGGGGCCACATGTGGTAAATTTGACCTGAAGGACCCCTTGTCAGAAATCAGTCAGAAAACTCAAGATCCCAAACCTCTTCTAGCACTTTCATCTTGTTGCACAGCAAGTGTGAGCTCTCCTTGCTCAGTAAGCCCTGCGGATCATGGTGAGAAGGACCACAAGGGCACACTTCCATCTGCAGAACAAGACAGCACCTCATTTCTGCATCCTGTGAGTGAAACATCTGAAAAAAGTCCCAGCTCATCCCAGGCAGAGAGTTCTCCACCTGCCAGCAAAGCGAGCCAGGGCATGGCAGCAGGCACTGTGACCTCCACGCTGCTCGTCCCCTGCGCTATCGAGAGGGCACTCTCTGTGTCTCAGCTGATGCCATTGGCACAGAGTGTTTTGGGCCCCTTAAAGCTCAGCATGGCTGGTTCTGGAGAGATGGAAAAGAGAAAGGATTTCCCCCATTCGGGTGCCTCGTGTAAAGAAGAGAGAGATGGGAAGCAAAAAAAGCAGGAAGCTTCACAGGCAGGAGTGTGCCAGGAGAAGGCCAAACCATCCAGTGCCGATGGTTTGACCACGAGGAGTGCATCCTGCACAGAGTCACTAAGCTCAGCTAAACCTTGGGAGGCAACATGTCCCATGGTGGTCAAAAAAGAGGCAATTTCCTGCAGCACTAAAGCATCAGAAGCACTGGGAGGTAGCGGCAAAGTGGCCCCAGCGAAGGAGCTGCCGCATGCTCTGGGACAGGCAGCTCTGAGAGCCTCTCCTGTGCCAGATGGCAGCACCAGGCCCTGCAAAGAAGGGACTCTCACGCCGGTGAGAGGCAAAGAGGTTGGAAGTCAGCTAAAAACACAAGACTTTCCCCTGTCACATGATGGTGCTGTAAAGAAAACATAGCAGCATCCCCGGTACACATGGACTGGAGCATTCTGCATTCAAAATAAAGACTGCATGTTTGAATTTTGTAATATACACTAATATAAAATAGAACTTGTGTACATCTATTTTTGGGAGGGTTTTTTTCATACTGTTTTTTGTGTTTTTTCATCCTTGCTATTCTATTTTTGTACACAGTAATGCTTGCTGTTTGAGGTCTCTTTAGAACAGGGTATCGTTAAAGCAGGGCTAAAGAAACAGTTTGCTGGTTTTCCCCTCCTGCCCTTTTGTTTTGCTTTGTTGTGCTCTTCCTTCCAATTCTGCCTTGAAGTCCCCAAAATTCTGAACACAAAAAAAGGCAGTTTACTTCAAAAATCTCCTGCTTTTCAGTTTTCCCATTCAAATTCCATTGACATTCCCAGGTACTGAATTTTTTCTTCGGATTTACAATTTGGTTTTCTTCAACAAGGAGAAGAAAATAGAATCTGGTCCATGAGTTACTCTGGAGCAAGAAATCCTCTCCAGAGCAAGATCTCTGTCACTGTGTGCATACACTCATCCTTAAAGGATATGGAGGAAAGGAAAGGGATGGAGGATCTGGACGGAGAGTTAGCTCTGTCTTCTCTTTAAACCAAATGAAAGTGTTTTATTATTCTTTTTTTTTTTTTTCCCAATGGAATTATCAGAGAGAAATCTGTAAGCTGTTTTGGAAGGGAGATTGTTTTTATTTATCCTTTGTAGGACACGTGGCAACTTCTCCTTGTTTTTAAAATTTTAATGATGTTTCATCATTTTTTGTTTTCGGCCTTCAATTTGTACCTTGCCCTGTCTTGGAAGAGGGACCCCAGGACAGGGCTGCCTCACTGGCTGATTTTAAAGTAGGGAAATCTGTAGACCAGTATGTCTTTGGCAAAGGTATCACAATGGTAAATGACCTTTCAAGACTTTTCCTTCTCTTGATGAGTCTCCATAGGTTGGGATTTGAGGTGTGCCTTGCCATTTCTGAACTGGGCATAGGAAATTTGCAGAGTTTTTCACATCTGCCCATTTTAAAAAGAAAGAAACTACAAAGAGTTCTGACTCCTTGAGTTCTGTGGACAAGCTGCAAGCAGACTTCAAGACACATGTTGTGATTTCAGCTTCGATAGCTAGATCATTTCCACTTGGTTCCATTAAACATCACTCTTGGCCCATAGGTTTAGGCATTGCTTTGCTTTAAGCGTGACTGACTCTGGATAACAGTGCTCTTTGCTGAGGATTAGATCCATAATTGTACACCAGTAATGTGGACGTTGACACCTGCAGCACTGTAAGCCATTTCCTCATCCAATTCAAGGTTACTGTCAATGAACGCTCCCGTCATTTGTCCCAGATTGTGCTCAGCTTTTACCCTAGCTGTGTCTGAGTGTATCTCTGCAGATCTAGCACCCTGCTCACTGGCTTTCTCTGTTAGAAGCTGAATGACTGTGCAATGGTATTTCAAGCTAAAGCCGGCACCTCGTGGTCTGACGTCATCATGCGCTGCCTTCTTCGTTGTCTTGGCCTTTTCTGAGCTTGAAGTTTTGAATCACTTTCCCTAAATGTAAATATGTTTTTATATGGGAATGTATTTTCTCCATCTCTTTCAACTTGATTTCAGCCCAATCCACAAAACTCTGAAATCTCGCCCTGCTTCTTTCTGCATAACCGTATTTTTCCCATCATATATGAGATTTTGGCTGCTTGGATTTCATTTCTGGACCAACTTTTGGTTTGGTTTGAGTTTTGTTTTGTTTTTAAACATTTTAAATGAGTGTTTACTCTGTGTGTCTGTGTGAATATGTATGGTGTTGTTAATACACTAGCCAAAGCCTCAGAGCTCCCACGTAACACGTGAATAAATCTTGCTGTGACAGTATTGAGAGCAGGGCCTGTTCTGTCTGTTGGCTCTTTTTGCTGGAGGTGATAGGCTGCTTGTGTGCTCTTGGTCACCGATTACAAAGGAAAGGCAAACTCCTATTGCAACCAAGGAGCTTTGCGACTTGGGTCGTTCCAAGCACCCAGCCCAGGCCCTGAGCTGGCGTAGCTCAAATGGCTGAAAAAGCAGCTGAAAAATCCATCTGCTGGGCTGTGTCAGCCTGAGCAGGTCTGAAGTGGCCGTGGAAGGCCCTAGCTGTGCTTGCTGCTGTCTTCTATTCCACAGCTGCAGTGCCTGTTGGCACGGTTACCCTTTCTTAGGCATCACAAGAGGAGTGGACCACTTTGGTGTCACACTTTTGCTGCTTTAGCCCAACCAGCTGAAGAGGAGGTGAGGGGTGCGTTTAGCCGCCTTGTTTGTGGCTGTGGTATGGAGTGATTGATGCAGTGGAAAAGCCAAAGCCATCCTGGTGACAGCCGGGTCCCTGCTCCCTGCCCACCTGCAGCTCCCCTCGGTGCAGCATTGGTCCAGTTTACATTGAGGCACCTTAGCACAAAAGGCAAAAAGAGACTTCCTCTGAAACTGTGATGGAACAGTAGGTGGAGACAGCAAGATTTATTCCTCGCTAATTGCTTAAATACCTTCTCAGACTGCAAAATGCCCGTGCTGCAGAGGGAAGGAAAGATGCAGTGCCCTGAGATGCGCAGCAGCACGGGGTTGGCTGTAGGGAGGTGGCAGAGTGTGAGCGCAGTGTGGTTCCGAGCCCTGCGGACAGCCAGCGAGACCCGATGTTTCCTGGTTAATTTTCCCATTTGTTTGGTGGGTTTGGGTGTTTCCTGCCTTGCTGACTGTGGGATTGCGGTGCAGGAGCTGCTCCCCGTCGGCACGTCAGTGTTATTCTTCCCTTTGTCTCTTGCTGTTGCAAACTAAGAGGAATGGATGGTATTTATTGTAAATATTAGACGTTAGCATTGTCACGGCCACTCCTGAGTCTGAATGTTGGAGGCCTTTGGCTGCTCGTATCGCTGCGGGACGGAGTGGGGTGACCGTGGTTTGGCTACCACACTTTTGCATTAAGGTGTGATTTGGAGTATTTTATTCTTTTGTTCCGTAGAGGGGAAGATAAAGCCTTTCTCTGGTTTTCTCTTGCTGCCTTGAAGGATAATGCTGTACTTCTGGTGGGAGGTAGGACAGCAGTGTGCGTTGTGTTGGTACCATATCAGGTGGCTGTGGGAGCACCCCAGGTGGGCCCCGCCGCGCCGCCTCGCTCAGCACTTAGATAAGAGGAAGTGTGGAATCTCTGTGTTCTTAGAAACTTGAACAATTGCCACATAATAGCGGTGCAATAATTTTTATTCATGTTGTACCTGCATGTCGATGTTCAAATCCTCCTCCAAAATAAATTTTTTTTTTTTTTACATAAATTCAAAGTCGTGTTGCTCTCTTATTTCCACCCTGCAGATGTGTGTGCCGTGGCACAGGGCTTGTGTTGAGTCGGGCCGTGTTGGGCTGAGTTGGCTTGACCCAGTGGAGCCAAATGCTGACAGTGAGGGCTGTAACAGCTGCGCCGCCCCCAGTGCCACCTCTGCAGGGGTGAGGGTGGATGGGGACGGGGCTCAGGCACGTCCTCGTGTTCCCGGCCCTGGAAACCCCGGGCTGCCCACAGCCGCCCCCACCTTCATCCCGTGCCAGCGGGCTTTGGATTTGAAACACTGATTAGGGCTGACCTCATATTCCAGAGCTTACTTCGCAGTCGCTAATGAAGGATTAAGAATGTTAAGCTAATTAGCAATCAGCAAACGAGGGCTCAGTCGGTGTTCTCAGCTTGGTGTGCTGTCAGTGAAGCGGTCACCGGGCGGTGGGCACGAACCGCTCCCAGGGGCCTGGTGATGCTGCTGGGGTGACAGAGCTCGCTGCTGCCACAGTGGAGCCAGGACTGTGAAGGAAATAGGAACGTGGTATTTTCCACCTGAATTTCTCTGGAATCAGCTCCACCCCAGTGCCTGTATTGCTCTGAGGCTGCGGTTGACGGGTAGCCCTGAGCTGGGGTTGGGGCTGCCCTTGGGATTTGTTGCTCGCTGCCATCTCGCGCTCTGCTTTGTGCTGCTGTGCTGTGCTCATGGGCACGCCACGATGGGCTGTTCTGAGCTGGCAAAGGGATAAAACTGTGTGAAAGACAGAGATAATGGGCTCAGATCCATCCTGCTGCCATCAGCCCTGGTGACAGCCCTGCTGTCACATCTCTCTGCTCATTAATCCCTGAGCTGTGCCTGTGTCAGCAGCTGCCCTGAACCTCCTCCTGCTGAGCTCAGCTGTGGGGCATCCCTGCTGCTGGTGGGGATGTGGGATCTGCTTTGGGGTCTGATTTCTCCTAGGGATGTCAGTAGCACCAGAGGCCCCGAGCCACAGCCCTGCCTCCGCTCTCACTGTGAGGTAGGTGTGGATATGATGGGTGCTGGCATTCATCCTTACTCTTGTATCAACCTAATGTAGGGATGAGCTGCTCACTCCTCCTAAGGAAACATCACCTGGTGAGGAGCACCCCGTGCTCCAGAAGCACCAACCCTTTCCTTTGGAGAAAAACCCCTGGATGCTCTCTGGGCCCTGTGCATTTTTTCAGCAGCTGCAAGAGGGTCCCATCCAAAGCCAACATCCGCTGGGCCAGGAGGAGGAGGAGGAGGAGGAGGAGGAGGTTGATCCTCAGCTGCCGGCTCGCTCCAGACGCTGACTCTCTTTCTCCACATCCCCTCCCATTCCCACTGGCAGCAGTGCGGCTGTGCTTCCTGCCGGAAAATATTCGGGATGTGGGCAGAGGGCTTCACCCTGGGGGGGGGAGGGGTCCCATATGCACCCTATTGTATGGGTGTGGGTGGGTTTGGGGTGACGGCAGTTGGAGCCTCTGGGCGAAGGCGCTGCACAGCCCCGTGGGCTTTGAGTGCCCACAGTCCCCGTGGGGGATCTGGCTCTGATCCCAGCTGTGAGAAATTCCTCCTAGAAATTACAGCGTGAAGGAAAATTACGCCTTGAAGGAGGAAGAAAAAAAATAAGTGTGACACAGCGAGAGAAGAAAACAGCCCCAGCCCCACGATCAAAGCCCCGCGCAGCTGGAAGCGCTCCGGCAGGAATATTCCCGGCTGTGTTTGCCCAGCAGCAGTGAAAGGCCGCTTTGTTCTCAGCCCCGCCTTCGCCCCCATGGGATCGGTCCTCTGGGGCCGACGTCGCCGCCGGGTGCCGCAGGTGCGGGGTGCTGCTCTCAATGATGCTTCGGTCCCCACAGCCAACCCCGAAGGTTGTATGTCCCAGTGCCCTGCTGTCCCTGTTCGCCCCCTCTTCCTCACCTCGATTTTCCTGTCTTCTCATCTCTTCCCAAACTTCAGGCCAAAGTTAGGTGCTTTTTTAGGTTGTTTTTTTGTTTTTTTCTAAGAGCTATTTTTGTTGCCTGGGCCTGTTTCACAAGGTACACCACTCCACAGAAAAGGAATTTCCCTCTGATAGCTTTTTCCAGGCATAGGGGTGCATGGGCTCTGCTTTGCTGGAACAGCTGGGTCTGAACAAAGGTCCCCCTGACCAAATCCTAGAGATCTGGGATCCTGCATCCTCCAAGTCCCGCATGGCAAGGTCCCAAATCTCCTGGATCCTGCATCCTCCAGGTGCCATATTCCCCAGTCTCACATCCACCAGGTCCCCCATCCCCAGCTCTGGTGCGCAGGGCACAGGGACTCTCAGGCCAAGCTCCAGCCCTCTACCATCTCCCATGGGGTCAACTGAAGTCCCTAAGGCATTCCCTCTGCCGGTTTTGGGCTGGGAAGGTTGGCTCTGGCTGAGTCCCAGCCCGGAAATCTCGGCCGGGCTTTGGCTCAGTGTGGCAGGGAAGGCTGCCGAGAACAGGCCGGCCCTGTGCAAAAATGGGAACTGTGTTGTCAATGAAAAGTGCTTTCTTTGGGTAGGATGTTTGTGTTTCCCTTGGCTTGTCAGCGGCAGGAGTGTGCACAGCACCTGCCCGGGGCAGTGGGGCTCTGTTTGCTGCACACCACAGCCCCTAGAGCTGTTAGAGTGGGAAGAGGTGGGAGAAGAGCCCCGGGGCTCCCCATCCCACTCCTGATCCCTTTCTGGTCGGTTCTGTTTGCAGCAGCCCCGGGGGTGAAAACTGGCAACAAGGGGCAGGCTTGGCCCCGTTGACTGGGAGTGGTGTGAAGCTGGGGGCTCAGTTACTCAATTCTATACATCCGTATTTCCATTCCAGCTGTGCGTGAGGGTGTTTGTGATGCCTGCTGTGCGCTGCTCCCATGCCATGCGTGGGCTCCAGGTTCAGCACCAGCCCTGCCTCCTGGTCCCCGGCCCTGAGCTGGGAGCACAGAGGGAACACAGAGCAGCTCAGTTGTGGTAACAAACCATGGCTTTCAAAGCAAACCCTGATGGTTTGAGCTTAACCCCGATGGGCTGAACCAAATCCTGATGGTTTGAACCAAATCCTGAAGGTCTGAGCCAAATCCCAATATTTGTATCAGGCTGTTGGCTGGAGAAGGGCCGTCTATTGACATATTTGTTTTCAGCCTTCTTTCCCCCATAGGGAAGAGCCTTGCCATTAATCTGTCATTGCACTGGTCCCAACCCTGGGGGGACATCCTGTGTCAGCATCCTGTGACCATCTGTCTGTCCATCTGTCTGTCCGACCTTCCATCCCACGCCCCTGCCCTGCAGGGCCCCGTGCTCCCCGCTCCTGCCTGCTCTCAGGGTGAAGCCGGGGACCTGCAGGAAGCGCCGCGGTGCTGCTGGGGATGGAAAAACCCCGGGATCTGCCCTTTCTCCGGGTGCTGTTTTTCTTTCCATCCACTCAGCACAGCCGCTTGGAAATTTCCTATGCTGGCTCCCGGCTGCAATGTTTTCCTAAATGAAACGGCGCGCCTGGCGAAGCCCTGAGAAATGATTCGCCCATCAGTGACTTACATCCTTCCTGCAATGCTGCCTTCTAAGCCCTTATAAAATAAAACAACAAAATAAAACAGAGATTCCCCAGGAACACTGAGAAGTACGAGGCTGTGCCCCTCGCTGCCCTCCAGCCCCGTCTGGTGCTGGGTCTCCCCATAGAGAGCTGATGGAGTGCAGAAATGCTGACTCAGTGGTCAGAAAGGCTTACTCAGCGCTTCGGAAAAATGCCAGCACAGCATTTTTAGGAAATGGTTGACTCAGCTGTCAGTAAAAATGCTGAGTCATGGGCTCAAAGAAACCCTGAGGAAGCAGTCTGCAAACCGTTCATGCACCCGGATGTAGAGGGCCAGGCACTGAGCCCTCAGCTGCTCAGGCTTCTTTTGTTTGTCACCAGGTTTGTCCCCCTGTCCCCCCCCAGTAGGGCAATGCAGGGTGGAACCCAGCTCATTCCCATCAGATTGGCTCTGCAGCCTGTCCTGGCTGAGGGAGCCCCAGCAGCACAGCGTGCAGACACGAGCACAGCCAACAGCACCACATCCCAACCACGCTGCATTTCTGCATTTATTAGAAACAGCCGTCAGTACATCCTTCTAAAACATTACATGTCAATGTGCTTTATTGCAATTCTTTATTGCATTTTGATCTAGAGCAAGTAGGCCCAGGATGCTTAGTGTCTGGGATTTAAAAGCCCAACCATCTATTAAAAGAAAGTACAGCAAAATCGTAACACATCTGGTGACAAGTACAGTGTTGCATTACTGATCTAGAAACTACAGTATGACTTGTCCGAAAACACTAACGTACAATTGGTTTCCTTATGAAGCAGTTTGTTTCTTTTTTAAAAGTTAAACTACATGAATTCCTTTTTTTTTTTTTTTCTTTTTCTTTTTTTCTTTTTGACTACACCATAAACGACAGAAGAACAGGTTTTACACAAAGAACAAACAAGAGTACCAAAGTTACATGCTGGAATTCATACGGAAAGAAAATAAGTCGACAGCTTCTGGGGAAGCAGGTTCCTAACAGAGGCGGTTTCCCTTAAAGAAAATCGAAGTCAAATAATAATGAGAAAGGATTAAAGCGAAGGCTGCACCAAGGAGTGCTGCTGCTGCAGCCCCACGCCCCGCACACAAAGCGCCGCTGCCCCTCGTGGGAGCACGGAGGGTTTCCTTCCCCAAACCTTCGCTTTTGGAGGATTTCAGTGCTGCGTCCCAGAGTACACAACTGGAACCCACATTCAGTTCAGCTTACAAACAGAGGAACTCCCCCCAGGAAACCCATCCTGCGGGATTTCAGAAGCACGGATTGGAGGTGGTCAGGACCAGCTCCTTGTCATTTATGGAAATAAGCCCAGCTTTGCCCAAGCAGGATGTGCTAGCAGTGAGTTCTGGTTTAGTTTCCAAGGGGCAGTGCCACTTACAGCTAATGCATATCAATGTGTATGGGAATATATTTTACATATATCTATATACAT